TTTTTATAGTTGTCTCCAAGAGTGTTGGTAAGTCCGTTTTGAAAGAGAAGAATGGATGTTACTAATGCTTTAGCAACATCAAATTATTATGTCTAGCTCTAAGTCCCTGTGCTAGGTGTTGGGAATGTAGACAGAACATTTTTCCTGCTCTTCGGGAGCTTATATTTCCCTGGGCAACAACAACAAAAAAAGAGGAAAACATATGAAAGACATAGTTTTATATTTATTTTATTTTTATTAATTTATTTTTGTTACAGATGTTTCTCCTTTTTTCCATTGACATCCTCCTCCTGAAACCCCCCCTCCACACACACATACACACACAGCATTGTTGTCTGTGTCCATTGGTTTTGCATATATGCATAGAAGTTCTTTGGCTTATCTCTTCCCTCTCCCCTGCACCCCTCTCTGAGGTTTGTCAGTCTGAACCTTACTTCTATGGAAAGACTTATTTTTAAACAATATGTTAGTTACACTTTCACATAATATGTTCAACATATTTTTCTTCAACCTACAAACGTGATTTCATGTGAAGTACTTCAAAATTTGAAGCAATAAGATCAGTAGGTAATCGGGGGTGGGGGGGGGATGCATTAAGCACACTATTTTGCCTGTATGTCCAGACATTTTGGTATATTAACAATTTGGTAGTATATTAACAATTTATCTTTTATTTCTTAATTTTTTGCTCCCTGCTGGTTGAGGAGATAGCAGAGATCTCTAAAATTATATACAATACAAGTGGCAGCTACTGATAACAGGTTCAGCCACCCCAAGAGGGTTGAGAATCACAGACCGGCACTGTAGCCAGTGGTGCTTGGCCTCTACACCCTGCCAGGAACATAGTCTTGTCATAGATGCTTACACACCCCCCCTAATGAGCCACATTTAATATGGGTCAAAAAGGACACTAAAACAGATCCCAGCCTGCAACCCATGGACCATTCCCAAAATAGTCCTGGTGTGGATGACGTTCATCCCAGAAGGACAGCAGTGACAGGAGGTTCTGCAGAGGGAGGTGGTCCGGCTGCCTTAAGAAAGGTGGGCAGAAAGTACATGGTAACAAGCTAACTGCAGAGGATTGCCTGGGATTGCCTGGCTCTGCTGGAGTCTGAGACCCCTCAGGACACTGCCCATCCCCAGGGAGCCTGGGGGAACAAGAAGAAGGCTGATGGGCCCTCATGGCCTCTTTGAAAACATAATAATCTTTCCTAACAGATTATTCTCCCTCAAGGTTGAAGGAGAAGTTGCGTCCGTGGTCTCCCATCCTGTGTTTAGGACTCCAAGTGCAAAGGCTCCAACTTAAGGAGGAGCTACTGCCATTCTCTGGACAACGCCTAGGCCATTTGCTTTTTCATTTTCTTCTTCACTGAACACTGGAAAGAAATAATCCTGAAAAGAAGGGTATTCCTCAAAGATATCACTGTGGACTTTACTCTGAAGGAATGGAACACTCTAAACATTGCCCAGAGGATCCTGTGTAGAGATTTGATGCTGGGATCACAGTGACCCAGTCCTTTGGGGAAAGACTGTGTTCCCCTACGAATGAGGATCTAGCCTTTGAAATGACTTGAGTCATTGACTAAAAACTATGAAATGCGTACCTGAGCTAGGTGGCTTTTGTTTATGCTATTTCCCAGGAAAAGGTTTTATTTTTAAATAAGCTTTATTAAGATATAATATATATATATATATAAATCTTTTACCCATTTAAGTATACAGTTTGATGGGTTTGGAAAGATATGTATTTGTGTAATCATCACCACAATCAAGATAGAACATTGCCATCACGCCCCAAAGTTCCTGTGTGCCTCTTTCCTGTCACACCTCTACCCCCACCCTGCCCTCAGGCAGGCTCTGATTTACTTTCCATGGTTATAGATTAGTTTTGCACTGTCTAGAACATCATATAAATGGAGCCATATTTCACCTTTGAGTCTGGCTTTTACTTAGTGTAATGCTTTTGATATTTATCCATGTCATTAACGTGTTTCAGAAGTTCCATCCTTTTCATTGCTGAGTAGTGTTCTGTTGTATGGATATACCATCATTTATCCATTTACCAGTTGATGGACAAATAAGCTGTTTTCAGTTTTGATTCTTATGAATGAAGCTACTATGAACATTCATGTATAAATGAACAAAATTCTTCAATTCTAGTAAATTCAATAGACAGAACAGCTTGGCAAGGTGATAAATTGGCTGCCCCTGGTTGTGTGTTGGGGGTGGAGGGAGGTGCGGTGTGTAGTCAAGCAGTTGATGAGGCCGAGTTCTGAAGAGCAACTGGTTTTGTGAAAAGCTGCTACAGCCAAAGTTGGAGTGGGGAGAAAAAGCCTGTACTGAGCAGAGAGGACTGCTGATCAGGTGTCTTTCCATCGCATGGGAAAAATGGATTGGGACATCATGAGCAGGACAGGATAAAACACACACGTGGTAGTTTTCTTTTGACATGGGCTAGAATTGAGCCAATAGACTCAAACTGATTTTCTTGGCTACTTCTTCAGGATATGTGTGAAGGCCTGTCCAGGCAACAGGGACAAGAACTCCATCTCCAGAGTTTGAAACAACTGGTTGTGGGACCTTGAGTAGAGATACATAACCTTGGCAAATGAGCATAAAAAGACTGCCTACCTTAAGGGCTGTTGGATTAGATGAGAATCTCTATAAATCCCTTAGCAAGTGTCTAGTGAATAAGGAGGGCTCAGCAGACGTAAATAACAGTATTATGTTTAAAAATTATGTAATACCTTTGATTTAAGTAGAATCCAAACATATTCCTTAGGAAGTTGAAATATTTTAATGTATTTTTTTAAATTACATGGTGAATACTTTCTGTATTATTTATATTAACTATCGAGGAATTGAATTATTCATCAAAATCTGGTTAGGGTTTTAGAAACGTTTCTTTTCAGTCACAAAACCTCCCAGTGGCTGCAGCATCATCCATTTCCTCATGCAGCAGTTGTCTAGTTCCAAAGCTCCCACCCGGTGCTTCTCAAGCCAGAAGAATGGGGTTTGTCAGTAAATCTGGTTGGTGACCACTTTTTCAGGAGCCGGTTCTGGGCTGGCAGTCTACTCCTGCAATCTCTCTCAGGGGTGCCTGCTGCACCTCCACATCCTCTGAAAGGGGTCCCTGTGGTAGAGTGGAAGGAGCAGGATTGGAAGCTGAAAACTTGGATTTGAATCAGGACTTTATTGCCCTCTTCCCCTCCCCCAACACACACTTGAAGTCTCCTCCCTATCCAAGCTTTGCTTTCCTCATTTCTACAGTGGGCTGACAGCACCTCACTAGACTGTGGCAGAATTTCATGACGTTGCAGTGCAAAGACCGGATCAATGAATGCTTGTTGACCCTGTTAATTCCATTCTTTATGTTACAGTCTTTATTTCTCACCATTTCCAAAGTCCACTGGCTGCACATAACTCAAATGAAAAGGAGCTGCTTTAGCCCTGGCCGGTTTGGCTCAGTGGTTAGAGCGCTGGCCCGCGGACCAGAGAGTCCCAGGTCCGGTTCCTGCTAAGGGCACGTATATCGGTTGCAGTTTGTCCACGGTCCCGGTTGGGGTCATGTGGGTGGCAGCCACTCGATGTGTCTCTCTCACATCGATGTTTCTCTCTCTCTGCCTCCCTCTCTCCCTCCTGCTCTATCTGAAGATAAATCTCCGGTGAGGATCTACCTATCTATGTATAAAATAAAGAAACAGAACTAAAGAGTGAAAACAGTCAATATTGTAAAAACCGCCCTGAATGTCACCCCACCAGGAAAAGCTCCTGGGTTTGAAATAGAAGAAGTAATTCTTGAGTTATTACCTGGGGTTGTTACCACCCGGGGCTCCCATTCTCCCTCCCCTTCCTGCCTGCCGGGCCCTCACCTACCCATCCCCAGCGGGCTGCCCGGCTCGCCCATTGGTTAGTTAGCTCTCATTGATCTGGTCTGAGCGTTTTCCTGGCTTCCTGCGCGGGCACCAAGTGCGGACCAGTCTGCTCTAGGCTATATAAGAGGAGCAGGAGCAGGTTTTTCCTCTTCCCGGAACATGTGCGGATCGCAGGTTCCGATCCCCGCTGGCGTCACGGGCCCCCTCCCAAGGCGGGGTTAGGGTCCCGGGGCCCTCGCCTGTGCGTGCCGGGTGCCCAGCGGAGTGGTGAGGCCCTGGGCTGAGGTTTACTGGGCAGACCCCTGCCCGCTTCCGTCCACCTGCGCCTCCTGGGCCTGAGCGGAGGGCATGCGAAGGTGGTCGCCCTCCACCTTTGCCCTCCTTCCCCGATGCTCTCTTCATATTGATGCTCCTGCGAACGTCACGCAGGGAAAAGCCTCTCGGGTGAATTCCGAAGTCATCGGATCCGGATGGGGGAGTCAGTGGGCGTTTGAACGCCCGCGTGCTACTCCCATTGGAAGAACGCAGGCCCAGCCCACCTTCGGCGGCCCAGGTGCTCGAATCCTGGTTCTCATTGCTTCGCAATCATGTCGACCGCAGGTGGCTTCTTAGTTCCGAAGAAGATGGCAGCACTGTTTTACTTCGTCTTCCTTATCTCCTAAAAAAGGGAGGGGGGCTGTGTTTCAGAACTGCCTTAAGACACCTTTTTGTGTTCACTGCTGCCCTATAGTCAAGCATGGTTGCTTTTAAGTTACATCTTTATTGAGGAAGGAGGCAAAAAGCAAAAGCTAGAGAGAGCTGGTAATTTTTTATTTTGTGTATGTGATTATTTGCACCTTCCAAATTTCCCTTTGAAACACAGAGATAGTTAAAGTAGATGTTGTTCTAAGTAATACCAAACATAGATGGCATTTAAGAAAAAAAAATTAAAAGTAAAATCAGGTTTTGTTGAGATGAATGTAACAAAAAAAATCACCTCTCATTTTCAATTAGAAATTCTGGTCTATTATAATTTTGGCGTGTAGTTCTGTAATGTACTTACTTCTAAAAAGGAAAAGAACCGGATTTTCATAATGTCTCTCGCCCATTCTGTTTTATTTTTCAGTCCAGAGCACAACCACCAGAGGAGCACAAAAGGAAGCCGGTTTTGGGAAAACTTGGCAATCTGTTCACCACAGGAAGGAGAAGGAACACCAGAACCGTGTCAGAGAGTCCCACCAGCTCAAATGCCAAATCAGCCTCTCCCAAAGATACTACCTCTTCCCAACCCCCTGAAAGAGAGGATGAGAAGAGGAAATCTCAGGGCAGCCAACCAAAGCAAAGCGACAAGTGTGAGGAGGGCTTCTCACCCCAGGAGAAGCCCCAGGAGCCAGAGGGCGGGCACTCGGAGACCGGCGTCCAGGTAGCACCCCCTGGCTCGGAGCCGTCCCCTTGCTCGAGTAGCTGTGCAGCGACGGCTGTGCAACTGTGCCACGAAAGTGATTCACCCCAATTAGAACCTCTAGACTCAAAAGGAGAGCCCTTCCCAGATGCCACGACCGCTGCCAAGCAGCTGCATTCCTCGCTCGAGAATTCCCCCAGGCAAGAGAACGCAGAGACGCTAGCCCGCAGTCCTGGGGAGGACGCTTCGCCCCGCGCTGCCTTCGCTCGGGAGACAGCCCCAGGTGCAGGGGAGGAACCGGGGTCGCCCTCCGGGGAGCGGCCCGCGAGGGGACTAGGCGAGGTCGCTCACAGAGACCCCCGCCTGGGTGCCGAAAAAGGCTCTCTGGAACCCCAAGACGCATGCACCCAGCCACCGGAGGACGCATCTGCTCCGCCAGGTGACCCTCCTGCCGAGGGCGCAGAGAACCGGGCCAGCTCCGCACAGGCAAACGGCAAAGCCAGGCTCGGAGGACAAGTGTGCCGGCGGGGCGAGCGCGGCCATCCGGCCAAAGTGTTAACTTTGGACATCTACTTGAGTAAGACCGCGGAGGCGCAGGTGGACGAGCTGGTGGTCATTACTACCGGGGCTGACGATTGCGACGATCAGGACGATATGGAGAAGAGGGCAAGTGGCCGCAGGCCTGGGAGGCGGAGGAGGTCGCAGAAATCCACCGACTCGCCCAGCCCAGACACCGCGCTGCCCGACAGCACGGCGAGGGATGACATGGTGTTTGACTACGAGGTGGCGCCAAACGCGGCCACCGAGAACGGCTCGGCCGAAAAGAAAGTGAAATCTCCGCGGGCGGCCCCGGACGGAGGCGTTGCCTCCCCTGCGAGCCCAGAGTCCAAGTCCAGCCCTGGCTCCAAAGGGCAGCCCCGAGGGGAGTCGGACCGGAGCAAACAGCCTCTGCCGGCCACGTCCCCCACCAAAAGGAGGGGCAAGAGCCGCGTCCCGGAATCTGCGCCCATCCCACCCGCTGGCAGCCCCCGGGCTCCCGCCAAGGAGTCCCCGCCCAAGAGGGCGCCCGCGCCCGACTCCAACCCCGCTGCCAAGGCTGCCGCGGGGGAGAACGGGGAGGAGGCGTCCCGGGTCGTCCCCCGTGAGCTCACGGTCAGGAGCAGCTCTCTGCTGCCGGAGATCAAGCCGGAGCACAAGAGGGGGCTGCTCCCCAACCACTTCGATGGCCGGGGAGAAGGAAGTCGGAGCAGAGAGCTGGGCAGATCCTTTGGAGGTCCTGACGCCGAGGGCTTGAAGCCCAGGAACCATTTCGGTCCGGGCAGGTCTACAGTGACCACTAAGGTGACCCTGTAAGTAACTTCGGAATTGGGCCGGGTGGAGGAGCACATGCGGGGCGGTGGATCTGAGAAGCTCAGGGTCTTTGTAGTTGTGGAAGAACTGTGCACTGAATTTTCTTCTGTGTTGAAATTCAGATAGTGAAGAGCTAGTTAACATTTAAGGTTTTAAGAAGACACATTGGGAAGCATGTTCAGTTGTTAATTCCAGTTTTACTATAAGATTTAATTAAATGAATGTAACAATGAGATGTCTTTTGAGGCTCAGTGTTTACATAAGTGAGAGAGAGAAGACTGTATGGCTTGACAAAAGCTAATTCTGTTCTTTATTAAAATGTACACTGGCATTCTTGGATAGAACATTCTTAAAACACATATGCAGTGAATTTGAAAACATGGAGCATGTCCCAGTAGCTTTGACATGTGTGAGTTTAAGACTATTCATAGAACCTTTTATGGAACTTAGTGCATTATTTGCCTAAGTCTTAAAACACACACACACACACACACACACACACAACTCTAACACATGTATCATGGTTGCTTCTTCCCCTTTATAATGTTAGAGAGCCTGGTGATATTTTTGCCTCCACGTTGAAAAATAATTGTCAGTTTTTGAAATGAAGGAAAGTCAGTGCTTTTACTGGGAGACTTTTTGCTAAATGAAAAGACACATTAGAAGAATCCAGCTCAACAACAGACTGACTACTTGCTGTTAAGTTGACTGATTTTTCAGATATTTATTGAGTGCCTTCTGTGCACGGTATTGTACTATGAATCATGGGGGGGAAAACCCACAATTATGATTCAGTATTTTACCCTTGAAAAGTTAATGGCCCAGTCTGGAACACAAGATACTGACAAATCAAATAACAATGTGAAGTGATATTTGATTAAACTGCCAATGGATGTTACCATGTATAAAGCTTGGGGATGTGCAAAAGGAAGAAGAAAATCACTGTTGGTTTTTTGGCAGACTTGTGCCTTGATGCTGAGTGGTATGGGTGGACCAGATAGGGAGGGTACCGGAAAACTCTAAGTCCTCCCCCTTCCCACACTCACTTCTCTCAGTCAGCACATGTGAAAAACTGTATCTAAACGGCCTGTGTTTTTCCTGCATTCACACATGTATTAAAAGAGTTGGTATTTTCACAACACTGCCATTCTTAAACTAAACGGTCCATTCTGATGATTTGACTTCTTAGATAAGTAAGCTTTAGAGCTCTGTTTGCTACACACTTGAGAGAAAATTCTGCTTAATGAATAACTTGAGCTACCTCACCAACTTTGAACCTGGAGATCTTTGATAAAGTCAACTATTTATTCTGTAACGGCAGTGTTGGAGAAATAACCCGAGTGAATGATGCCTATTATTTGTAAAAGGCCAGTGTGCCAGCATTCAGACCTCCTAAGTGTGAGCCCCAGAGAAAAGCTGCTATATGCCTGGTTAGGACGCTTCAGCTCCAGTGGAAGAACCAGAAATGTCACACTGCTAAGGAGTAGGGTAAACAGAACTAGAGAAGCACAGCTTACAATGAAACTCTTCATGAGCTGTCGTCTGTAATAGAACTAAACCAAGTGTCTTTTTCTCGGTACTAATTACTTTCTACCTAAAATTTTTCCTTTGCCAGACACTATTTATTTAATTTTGTTTTCCACAGGGCCTCACACCTGGTGAATTGGCAAACTATTGAAATGGAAAATTAACAATTCTTCCTAGTTCTTTTTTGTTTGACTGATGGGGTTTTTCAAACCCTTCTATTTCCCCCTGATTGCCTTTCAACAAAAGATGTTAACTCAGATTATTTTTTTAAAAGCTAGTTTGAATCTGAAGTTTTAGAGTTAAAACTATATTCCCTCAAAAGTAATGACTGGGAGGCAGCATGTTTCTTGAAGCTATAAGGAAAACTGTCTTCAGTTCTTATCAAGTATTGAGTATTGAGAATCTTAAAATGCTATATTTAAAATAAGGAGATTTTTTCTCTTGTATTATAGCCATAGCTTTTTAGACTCCATTATTTTCTCCTCTCACATTGTAATGAAAGCATTGCAACATGAATTATAGGAGCCTTTTAATCACTTTGAGCTAGGTTAATTGTAGTGACTCTTGGTAGCAGAAGTTAATAGCACAGAAAGTTTGGTTGTAAAATGTATTTTGATCTTGGTGTAAATCTTTAATGTGCAGATGTGTTTCCTGTTCTTAAGGTGGCTTGTTGGCTAACCTGTAGTGTTTTCCATTTACATCATAAGACACACTTTGATGTTTGACTATTCTTAGAGATGATTAGTGAGAATTTTTAAAATGTATATTCCCTGGTATATGTTCATCCCTCATTAACTGATAGCGTTCTTAAGCTTTCTATTTCTAATCATCTCACTGGTTTTAGAATTTTATCTTTAAGGAAGTACTGATAAGTTAATGTGCTTTTAAATTTAAGATATGGGCCCACAGTGTGGGAGCCTAAATATCTAATAGAGATTTTGGGGACAGCAATGCCTGGGAGAAATTAATGAGAATATATCAAATTTAGTATATAAGTAAAATTTAAAAAGTAAAAATCTAAATTCTTAATGCTGCATTTGGCGAAGACTTCTCACGTCTTCTCATTTTATCCAGAAGGATAAGGTGTCCACAGTCATATTGCCCGTCCCTCCATGTGCATGTACCATAATTTACTTATCAATTACTCAATTGTTGGTTTTGTCACCATTTCTTGGGCAAAGTGAGTCTCCCCCTTCAGTCTCGTCTCTTGGGTATAATTGCACCCTAATGGAAATCATAAGTCTTTGAATGTACACAATTTTTTCTTTCTGAGAAACAAAAGGTTCTCAGGCCCAACCTCCTTGAAGGGCAGTGAAGTCATGCGAGAGACAGCATGAGATTGCAGTGCTTCTCCACGGTGTGTTCTCATCGTACTGGCCTCATAAAGTGTGATTACTTTGCCTTAGCGATATGATAAATCATTGACTTTTTGCGTTGTGAAGCTGGAAAGAACCAGAAGGGGTCATTGAGGCGAGTCTCGTCTGATGCTTTCTGGGGAAGCAGAATAGTAGAGTGGTCGAGGGCCTGGCCTCTGAAACTGGCTTCAAATCATGGCCCTGTCACTTCCTAGCTGTGTGAGCTCAGGGAATTGCTTACCTTCTCTAAGCTTCAACTTCCTCATCCTAAAAGAGAACGTGTGAAACTGTACATTAGGCAAGCCATAGAGAGTTTTTCTCAAGGGCTTGGCAATCAGTGAATGTTAGTGGTTATTATCTCTTCCATTTTATAAACCACTAGACCAATGGGTTGGACCGTTTTGGTTTTGTTTGTTTTTTAGCTTTGGAGTCCATACTCCTAGAAAAGCTTATATAAAAGTGATATATAAAAGATACATTGGAGTGATTCTGATTGAAAGGAGGGTGGCTGGCCAACAGCCCATCCCCCAGTTTCCACTGTCCCCAACTGCAGGCCTTGAAGAGAACTTGAAAGGTTACTTCAACCATACCCTGGGGGCGGGTGGGGGGGGGGCAAGCAACCGCTGTTCTAAACCATCTAGTTTTTCTTTGTTTAAAGACAGAGGAGGTAGAGTTCAGAGAGTTAAAGTAATTTAACCAAGTACACAGAGATAATTAGTGTAAGACAGTGGTTCTCAACCTTCCTAATGCCTCAACCCTTCAATACAGTTCTTCATGTTGTGGTGACCCCCAACCATAAAATTATTTTTGTTGCTACTTCATAACTGTAATTTTGCTACTGTTATGAATCGCCATCAGAAATATGTGTTTTCCGATGGTCTTAGGCAACCCACAGAGGGGTTGCGACCCACAGGTTAAGAACCACTGGTAGAGCTAGGACCAGAGCCAGCTAACGTCAAAGAACCTTTTGTTTCTCAGAAAGAAAAAATTGTGTACATTCAAAGACTTATGATTTCCATTAGGGTGCAATTATACCCAAGAGACGAGACTGAAGGGGGAAACTCACTTTGCCCAAGAAATGGTGACAAAACCAACAATTGAGTAATTGATAAGTAAAGTATGGCATATCCATATGATGGGCTCTTATGCAGACATTAAGAAAACTTTTTAAACGATTTTTTTTGGTAATTTGAAACATGTTAAAAATGTTAAATATAAAGTTAAGATCAAACTCTATGAACAGAATAATCTTAATTCTATTAAGAATATTTAACTGCATATAAAAAGACTGGACATATACTACAAATTTTTTTCTTTCCTCTATTGAATTTAGAGAGAGAGGAAATGAGAGGGGGAGAGAGAAAGAAACATCGATGAGAGAGAACACTGATTGGCCGCCTCCTGCATGCCCCACCATGGGGATTGGGCCCGCAACCTGGGCATGTGCTATGACCGGGAATCGAACCGGTGACCTCTTGGTGCATGGGTCGATGCTCAAACACTGAGCCACACTGGCCGGACCATATACTACAGTGTTAACAGAGATATTATATCTGAATGGTAGGATTATGAGTCATTTTTCATTTTTATATTTTCCAAATTTTCTGTAGTGAGCCTACTTATATAATCAGAGAAAAATTTTATGGGGGAAGGATGAAGGGAATAAAATATCCAAAGCGGTAAATAATAGATCAATATTTTTTATAGTCTAGCTTTTTGAGATTATGTAAAAAAAAGTTATGATAAAATAAAAATTACACAGTTGTTGTTTAGAGAAATCACGTATGTATTTAAAATATAAGAGTGCATTAAATATTTAAACTTGTTCTAATGGACTTCAGGCCCTAAGATGTCTCGTAATTCCAGTGCCAAGCACTGTGCATACATACTAGGTACCTGACAAACTTGTTACCTCCCACCTCCAGACTTCCTTAGTTACATAATTTTCTCATCCCTCATAGGGAAGCAAAACATTGATTAAAAATAATTGATAGTATATTTAGGATCATTTAAAAATAGTTTCATTTTTTTAAAAAAGTTATATGCCAGAAAGATGTTGGCTTTTTATAGTTTTGTAATAAATTAGTATGTTCACTTTTTAAAACTGGGTGAGTAACTTTATCATTCTGCTTTTTTCTTGCAGCCCTGCCAAGCCCAAACATGTGGAACTAAATATTAAATCTCCTAAGAATCTGGACGGTTTGGGAAATGAGCATAGTCCACTTAGCCAGCCGGTTCATAAAGGAAACACTGCCACCAAAATCTCTTTATTTGAAAACAAACGGGCCAACAGTAGCCCAAGACACGTTGACATCCGAGGCACTAAGAACACCCTAGCCTCCAATAAAACATTTGTCGGGAGGGCAAAGCTGAATTTAGCCAGAAAAGCCAAGGACATGGAGCAACCTGAAAAGAAAGCAATGCCGAATAATCACCAGAATGGTGTTCTGGGGAAGGAAACCCCTGCAGAAACCAAAGTTCCTCTCCCTGAAGAGGACATTCCCCCAGCGGCCGGGAGTCCCAGCGTGCGAGGAATGGAGGGCGAGCCTACCGAGGACCAAGCTCTTGGTTCTCAGCTGAACCAGGGCGATCAGGCAGATGTTCAAGGAGATGCTGGCTGCCCTTCTGAACCGGTGGCTACTGCTCTGATTCCTGCCAAGGACCACACACTCTTAGGAGAGGACAACTCAAAGGCTGCTGACAGCAAAAGACTTGTACTTGAAACTACGACTGAAACAGCACAAGAAAGTCCCACCATTCTTGATGCGAGAGACTCACCAACAGCCACGCCAAAGCCACAGCACAACTTTTCTGACTCACAGCCCGCAGCTGAATCATCTAACCAGCCTCATTCACTGCCTGCACCCATTCCTGTGGACATTCCCAAAGTCGCACCTGCTGAAGCTCCCGTAAGCAATGTTCCATGCACTGATCGAAAAGGATCAGAAAACCATACTGGATGTATTTTGCCCGTGTCTCATCCGGATAATGAGAAAATGCCCCCCTCTGAACTTGGAGGAGGAAGAGGTGAAGGAGGAGGAGAAGCAGGCCCTCCTTTGTCCACAGAGCACAGCCCAGAAGTGGTGGGAGTTGAGGGTCCATCCAAGGTCCTTGTCCAGGTCAGGTCCTTTGTCCTTCCCGTGGAGAGCACCCAGGACGTAAGCTCTCAGATCATCTCAGATAGTTCTGAAGTTAGAGAAGTGCAGTTGCCAAGTTGTCACAATAATGAACTTGAAGTGGTTTCCGTTGCCAGTTGTGCGCCCCAGAAAGAGGAAGTACCGGGCAATAAGAGCACATCACCCACACACATTCACTGCAAAGAGGAACATGTAGCAAAATCTGACCCACAAGTCATGCCACTGGAATCAGAGAAAACTCTGCCTGTCCAGGCTCAGAGTCAGGGCAACAGAACACCCCTCACGGTTGAATCCAGCCCCACTCACTCCCCTGGTGGCAGAAATCATTTAGAAACTCCTCAAAGGCCAGATCGAAATGTTGTGAATGGCCAGGCCAGCCCTGCCAATCTTTTGAACATTTCTACCGGTAGCGATGATAGTGTATTTGATTCTTCTTCTGATATGGAAAAATTCACTGAAATCATCAAAAAGATGGACAGCACCGTTTGTGTGCCTCAGAAGAAAAAGAAGTCCAGAGTGCCAAACTCTCCCACCCCTCACTTTGTCATGCCTCCTATTCACGAGGACAATTTAGAGAAGGTGTTTGACCCCAACGTGTTTACCTTTGGTTTGGGGAAGAAAAAGGGAAGTCAGCCAGAAATGTCGCCAGCTTTACAGCTGATGCAGAATGTAGATGGGAAATCCACACTGAGGTCCAAACGCATGTCCACCGAGCAGAGTGTCCTCTTCAAGTCCTTGCACGCTCACACTAATGGGAAAGGCGAACCTCTGGCGACTCCAGAAACGAGCGACAAAGAGAACAGGGACGCTACCAATTGTGGAGTTAAGAGATCTAGGCTAGAAAAAAGTGCCCTGTTCTCAAGCATGTTATCTTCCTTACCACAAGACAAAGTCTTTACTCCCTCTGTCACGTCAGTCAATGCTATGACCACAACTTTCAGCTCTTCTCAGAACACTTCTCTTTCTCGGTCTTCTGTGTTACAGCCCGTGGCTGAGGGTGCCCCACCCTGCACTTCAGACAAAGAACAGCTAAATCTTCCGCCCAACCACTTAAAGGTCTTCAATTTTGACTCGTCAAGCCCATCTCATTCGGCCTTGAAAAGTCCAAGCTACATGGAAAAAGGCCTGCAAAAAGAGGAGACCAAGAAGGATCTGGACTCACAAAGCAATGTACACTTGCCAGAAACGAAGTTTTCTGAATTTTCAAAACCGAGGAACAGCGATGATGCGGAAAAGGTTAATCACGTTGAAGGTGTTCTTAAACCGAACTTGCCCAACTACAGGAACAGTGACACAGACTTCATGGGTCTCTTCAGTTCCAGACGGTTTGACCCGAACATTTCTTTCTCTGCAATGTCATTATCAGATCCAACAGTAAGTAGCAACCTATGTTCATTTATTTGGGGTATTTATAAAGTGAGAGAAGAGAAGGACGATGAGCAATTCATGTTACTCTTTTAGAAATGGCGATGCTTGTGTACAGTCATTTTTTAATTCATTGATTGCATATTTGGAAACCTCTGTACAAGGGACAGCTAGGGTCCAAGAAAAGAGCACTAAGATTTTGTTCTCAAGGTATTCGTAGTATAGCAGGGAAAATAAGTTCTGGTATTTTAAAGTACTTGTGAATTTATATGCTGTATTGTGAAAGGCATAGGTAAATTACCTTGAGAGTTCAGAGACAGACATGATGTTTTTTCTTACCTAGTTCTGCATAAAAATGCTCAGTACTGTAGTTAGAATTTTGAAGATTTGTGAATCAGCCTCCTTTATTCAGAAAAGCCCCTGCTGAGGAATTTTATTCCTAATCCCTTCTCTTGTGCTGTGAGGTCCACTCTTTCTCCCCATAAGTAGCAATAAATGTTCATGTTATGCATTTGAGAAAGTATTTTCTCTTTATTTGGAATTAATTTTCATCAAGGAAGTGTTTTCACCTGCAAAGCCTTTGAAGACTAAAGAATTTTGGTCTCTATTGGATCTTTCCTTTATTAAGTAGAGAGAGCAGCAAAATATGATTTTGAACAATAATGATGATTTCTCCATCTTCTTCTGACTGCTCACGTTGTTTTCTTAACCCAGTTTTTGATGTGAATTTGTTCAAAGCTTGATACTCAAGTTGAGGGAGGACAATGAAACAGAATATAACGTCCAGAGCTTGGCTCTGTTAGCCCAGACCCAAGAGTGGACCTTATATTCCTGTAGCTCACGCTGTGGACCAGGCCATCTGTCAGGGGTGGACCATCATCCAGAACGTTTGTTAACCAGCAATACCGTGCAGCCCTGCAGCCTGCCTCCTACGTCTAAGGCAGTGCTGCATGTTTCAAGCTGCTGTCCCGGCCTTTTCTCCAAGCCTATCTTAGAATGTAATTCTGGAAGCTCTTTCAAAAAACATAGTTGGGGATTCCAGCAGAGATTCAGATCCCTTTTTTCAAAAGTTTTCAAAATTTTGGTCTCAGTATGCTTTTATATTTTAAAATTATTGAGGATTCCAAAGAACTCTGTTCACCTATGTTATGCCTGTCAGAATTTATTATATTAGACATTAACACTAAGAAAATATAAAACACAAGAGCACGCAAGTGTACACTTCATTAGCCATCATGGTAATGACGTCATGGGGCCTCTGGGAAATTCTCCTGTATACTGTGAGGTAAAGAGACTGAAAAAAGGTAAATACCCTCTTCTTCTTATGAAAATAGTTTTGATATTATGGACTCCCTGAAAGAACCTTGGGACCCCACCAGGGGTCTCTGGGTCACACTTTGGGAATCACTATTGTATATGAACACTTCATCAGCCCATAGGTCTCAGAAGTCATAAAGTTTTTAAGTATTTCTCTCAAGCACAAAATTTCCACTAGTCCACTTCCCATTCATTACAGCCTTCTTCTCTCTTTTTGATCATTCTTGGATCACTTCTCTTAATTGACAACAGTCTGGAGAGTCTGACAACAGAATATATAGTTTTCTTGTGGAATCCTTTGAGAAACCAAGCAAATAGGGTAAAAAAGGAGAATCAAGTGCTTTGTACCTCCTTCGTCTTTCTAAGTGAATGCGATGTGACTCCTAATAATGCCCTGCTGAGGTTTCCTCTGGTCTTCTGGGCATATTCTACTGCGGCGTGATGCGGATCCCATTGAAGGCATCCCGGTCAGCATGGAAAGTAGTCCATGTTTTATAATTTTTTACATGTATAATTACTATTTTTATTGTGTAATGCATTTCTGGTTTTACTGGTCTTGAAAATGATTAGTTTTGTAGCTATATAACAACCTATTTTATCTATAAAAAAGGGAGTGATTAAATACTATGTGCAAGATACGTTGTGAAATAATCCACAAATACATGTTTTTGTTTTTTATTGATTTCAGAGAAAGGGAGAGAGAGAGTAAGAAAGAGATTGATCAGTTGCCTCCTGCTCACACCCCGACTGAGGGTCAAACTTGGGTATGTGCCCTGACCGGGAATGGAACCCACCACCTTTTGGTGTACAGGACCATGCACCAACCAACTGAGCCACACCGGCCAGGGCTCCATAGACATGTTTTATTTAGACTAGTAGTTTTTTGTTTTATCCTCACCCAAGGACATTTTTGCATAGAGCAAGAGGGAGAGAGAGAGGAAAAGAGAGAGAGAGAAACATCAATGTGAGAGAGACACATTGACTGGTTGCCACCACACGACCCCAACCAGGGCAGGGACAAACTGCAACTGAGGTACATGCCCTTAGCAGGAACTGAACCCTGGGTCTCTCTGGACCGAGAGCTGACGCTCTAACTGCTGAGCCAAAATGGGCAGGGTTAGACTAGTAGTTTTTATATGATGGTAGATGTTACTATGAAAAAACAGTGTTTATAGATTCAGAAAGGTATGTATATGAACACATAGAATTGATTCAGCTCATTCTAGATAAGTGATTAATACATTATACTTTTTCTTTCTTTATTTGAGATTATACCAAGATATTTTCAATTATAATCTGCTGAGTTCTTATTCTGTAAATTCACATAAAACATAGGTCTGACCGAAGTCCTAAGTTTTCTAGATTGGTGAACATATCCTAGGCATTTAAATGAAGAGAGATTGGAATGGCAAATTCACTTGGGCGGAGGAAGCTCTTAATAGTATAGATTCAAAGAGATTTTCAGTACAACTCTGGCATAGATCAAGGTAGACTTCTTTCAAAATTGATAAATTGTGAGGTGAATGTGGTCTTACTCAAAGGACCATACGAGGAGAAAAGGGGACTGTTACGCAATTTAATTATTCATTGTGTTTTTGTTCATCTGATTATAGACGCTTAGAGGAAGTGTCCAAAATAAAATCAATCCCCGACCTGGAAAGGTAAGATTATTTTCTGTTTCTAGTCTAGATTTTATTTTGGTCTGATAAGTACAGTAAGACGTGCTACCGCTCCCATGTTCCTGTAGGTAGTGATCTACAGTGAACCCGATGTCTCCGAGGAGTGTATCGAAGTCTTCAACGACATTGAGGATTGCGGCTCTTGGCGCCTGTCCCCTGTGATACTCATAAAAGTTATTAGAGGATGGTAAGCATGGCGCTTCGACTTCCTGACTTACTGGGTTTACATTTTACATTTTAAATTACTTTTCAGTCCTCGGTTCTGATGTAAAATTATATAAATTTCTTTTCATATGAATAGTTGTAAACCACTTTTACCCACTCCTGTATTGACATGAAGTTTTCTTTAGTGTTTGCATATTGTTACAAAGGATAGTTTAAAAATACTTTGTATCAATATTTCCATTGATATGACTTGAAAATGCAAGTTTAAATCCTTCTAAGAGAAGTGTTTTCTACACATATAAAGAGAAAAAAATTACAGCAAAAGTCCGTTAGTCTGTTGTATTACTATTTATAAGTCTCCACTAAATGGCAATTCTATAAAACATAAGTATCTCTGTAACATTAATATTGATAGCAGAAAGTTCCCTACGATCCTGATATAATTCTTGAATGAGTAGAGGCTAAATTTTAGTAAATTTTAGTTTTAGGGAGAGTTAATAGATTTTCACTGTTAGAGGGGATTTCAGGATGGCAGAAGAGTAGGTGGAAACTACACTCACCTCCTCCCAGGACCAAACTGGAATCACAACTAAATTAAAGAACAATCATCCTGAATAACCAACTGAAGACTAGCTGAGGAGGAGTCTCATAACCAAGGATGTAGAGAGGAAGCACATTGAGACTGCCCCAAACAGGCTGCCGAGGGCCAGGCACAGGCAGCCTCTGGCATTGGCCTGCACCAGAGTCCCTCCCAAGAGGCTCAGAGCCAACACACCCGGTGGCCAGCTTCAGACAACATGAGAGCAGGATCCAATAAGCTTCATAAGTGGCATATCCAAAGGGAGATCTCAGCCCTGGCTGGTCTGGCTCAGCAGTTAGAGCGATGGCCTGTAGACCAACGGGTTGCAGGTTTGATTCCCGGTCAAGGACACATACTTGGGTTGTAGGTTTGATCCCTGGCCCTGTTTGGGGTCCTGTGGGAGGCAACCAGTTGATGTGTCTTTTGTCTTTCTCATATTAATGTTTCTCCCTCTCTTTTCTTCCCTCCTTTCCACTCTATCTAAAAATCAATGAAAAGAATTTAAAAAAAAAAGAGCACCGAACCCGGTTGAGGCGAATTCTACTTCCTGTGGTCAGCACCTGCACAGCAGCTCGTACACGATGGGGTTGGTCCTCTTGGTCAGCAGCCTGAGGGTCCATTCCACGCATGAACGGGCCAATAGCAATCACGCTCAGGGAACTGGCCGTAATATATGATCTATATAGAGATATCCCTGTAGCGGCTATTGGCCAGAATATATGAATAATTTAAACCTCTCTCACCAGGACTGGCTAATAGTTTTGCCGTGTTTTATTCTTAGCTGGATTTTGTACGAGAAACCAAATTTTGAAGGGCACTCTATCCCTTTAGAAGAAGGAGAATTGGAACTCGCTGGTCTCTGGGGTATAGAAGATAATTTGGAAAGAAATGAGAAGGAAGAGTCTGCTAAGCCGATGGTGATTGGTTCAATCAGACATGTGATCCAGGTAGGTTATGGGAAAACCAGAATCCATCCAGCTATTCAGGAAATATTTACTGAATGCCAGGAATGAGTCTTGCTTTGAGAGAGAAGTTCATCTTATGAAATAAGTGATTGGGAAATATATTTGATTGGTGTTTATGGGTATACGTTCTATAAGCATTTGTACACTTTAAATGAATTAGAGAAAGACAAGTACCATATGATTTTACTCATATGTGCAATCTAATGAACAAAATGAGATCACAAGCAAAACAGATAGAGAGCAGGCCGACAGATATTGGGGGTGGGGTGGAGGAGCTGGGTTGCACGAGTGTGGGGTGTGGAGGGATTGAGAAAAAAAGGAAAAGTAGAGAAAGAACTCATGGACATGGACAACAGTGTGGTGATTGGGGGCGAGGGGATTGGGATGGAAGGCGGTAAAGGTGGATAAATGGTGATGGATGGAGACTTGGCTTGGGGTGTATCATTTATTAGTGTCACCCAATAAATATAATACAAAGGAAAAAATAGAAATAAAATAAACTAAAAATAATGATTAAAAAAATAAATTAGAAAAGCATTCTCGCCCTGGCCGGTTTGGCTCAGCGGTTAGAGCGTCGGCCTGCGGTCCGCAGAGACCCGGGTTCGGTTCCCGCTAAGGGCACATACTTCGGTTGCAGTTTGTCCCCGGCCCTGGTTGGTCGTGCGGGTGGCAGCCACTCGATGTGTCCCTTCACATCGATGTTTCTCTCTCTCTCTCCCTTCCTCTCTCTCCCTCCCGCTCTATCTGTACAAAAAATGGAAAAATGTCCTCGGGTGAGGATAAAAAAAAAAAAAAAAGAAAGAAAGAAAAGAAGCATTCTCATTGATCAGTCACCTTTTTCACAATAAACCTTGAAGGTTAATTTTCACTCCTGGCCCCCCATCCCTTCTCAAATGTGTTTTCTGCAATAATTTGATTTTGATGAGTTCTGAATGAACAAATTTTTCTTTTATTTAGTTTTTTGGTTGCTGTGTGAGTTTTGATTACCTTGAGTGGCTTATAGGACTAATAAAGATAAATAATCCAAAAATAATTTAGTTGATAGTTTGACTACGGGGTTTCATGTGAGTTTTAAAAAATAGGTATTTGAGGCCACTTTATAGATTGGATTAATTTCCTTGGTTCCTTTTTGTATCAGAGTCTTTCTTTGTGGCTGTTGGGATTTGATGATCCTTTACCTTTTAAAAATGTAATTAATGTTTTTTTACAAATGAAAAATTAAAACCTTGTTTGTGTAATAGAGATGGGTGTTGAGGTACAATAAGAAGAAAAAGAATGTTCTAAAATGAGAACGGCTAAGAATGAGTAAGAGTTTTTATGTACATGCATAATGTGATAAGTAAGACATGAAGAAGCCCACTTAAAAATGTCATAGTTAGCCCTGGCTAGTTTGGCTCAGCGGTTAGAGCATCAGCCTGCGGACCAGAGAGTCCTGGGTTTGCTTCCCTCTAAGGGCACCAACCTCGGTTGCAGTTTGTCCCCGGCCCCAGTTGGGGTTGTGTGGGTGGCAACCACTTGATGTGTCTCTCTCGCATCAATGTTTCTCACTCTCTTCTTCCCTCTCTCACTCCCACTCTATCTGAAGATAAATGCAACAACCAAAAAAAAAATGTCCTCGGGTGAGGATAAAAGAAAAAAAAGTCATAGTTAGTGTAATAATTTACCTGCAGATTTTATTGCTCAAATGGTATTGGTAATACAGCAGTGTTTTAAAATATCACCCAGATCCACCATCATGTGTTTTTCTGATTTCTCTATCTTGGCCACAGTCTAATCACAACACAGGCAAATGCTGTTTTCCTTATTTTCACTCAACACGTTGATTCTCAATCTCTTCTCTTTCCATACCCTTTTTATGAAGATTACACTCCCATTGGTAACATCTCTCATTGATTTGCAACTGGGAGAGGTATCAGAATTGGGTGGGGTTGGAATTTAGGTACATTCAGGAATGTGGGGGAAGGGAAATTGCCTGATAACAGCAGACTTGATAAAGTTAATGCTTTTCATGTCTCTACAGCCTTTGGGGTTTCCATTGAAATGATGTACCATCATTTATTTTTTCTTTCTACTCTCTGTGGAACTTAAGCTTGTTTCTTGTTTTTTACTATATTAAATAATGCTGCATGAACATTTTTGTGCACATAATAATTTATACATTTCTGATTTATTTCCTTGGGGTGGATTTTTCTGAAGGATGTCATGTTAGAGGGTAGGAACACTTTTATGGCTCCTGATACATCCTGAGTTATTATTATTCTACAGATTGCGTTTATGGTTTTTTAACACAAACATAAGTCACGTATATTCAAGGGAGTTACCTTTTTAGTCGTTAAATCTGTTTCTTTTGGTAACACTTGAAAGAGCCTCCCCTGAACTAACCCAAGTGTTACTGTTTCTTCTACACATCGGTTCACCTAGCTAAGCAGTCAAATATTAATAGAGATTTGATTAGTACTTAGGCAGTCCGCCAGGAAAGGCCTTTTGAAGTGTGTTTGATGAGCTGTGGACATGAAGGGCAAGGAACAGCGATCAAAGTGCAGGGATTTATAAATCAGCGTGACCGTGCCTCTGCATTGGGTTTGGTCAGAGTCAAGGAGAATTACCCGGGAGGAGTGGAGGAAACCTCCTGGCACAGCCACTCTGTAGTTGTATATCTGGATGCTCTCGGGTTGGGTGGGCACATCAGAGCCACAAAACTAAAAGTCCTGCCACCAAGGAAAGCCAGGCAGTTTTTCAGTAAGGGTGAGATATAAATATGTTCCAAAACTCTAAATACATTTCTGGTGATCTTTGCCTGAATGTAAAACTCAGATGTATGACAAAAACAATGTGTCTGCCCCAAAAGACCACATATAATTAAGTCATGGGTGAAAATAGGAAAGGGATAAAGTGGCAGGTGCTCTGTGAAAGCTATGTGTACATTTAAAGCTTAATTTAGTTATGGGGGAGAGGGGATTGAGCTTTCTGTAATGTACATGGTGCAATTATTGTTGTATATGTATACATTTTTGTTTTCCAGGATTACAGAGTTAGTCACATTGACTTATTTACTGAACCAGAAGGGCTAGGAGTCCAACATTCCTACTTTGATGACACAGAAGAAATGCAGGGGTTTGGTGTAATGCAGAAGACTTGTTCCATGAAAGTGCACTGGGGCACGTAAGTGTTTTATTTTAAATACAATTTCAATGAAACTTTTGGTGAGTGTCGTACCGGAAAGAAGACTTAAAATGTTCTGTCTCTGATTTGTTGTCCTGTTAAGCAATTATTGACTAAAAGGGTTTTGTGTTTTCATAAGGCACATACGATTCTGATTCTTTTGTACAGCTCTTACAAACAATAACGATTTCTTGGAGGAAGTGCAGCGGGGAGAAGGCATTTTTAATGTAGGGATTTCCTTATCACAGAGGAACCTGATTCATTCAGAGCTGAGTAAGAGATTTTACCTTCCTGGTAATTCAGAGGAGGTAATTCAGAGCACTTACCCTTGATGTTTCAGGCGTGATAGAGGCCAACACATATGGTACTTCCTTTAACGTTTCACACAATGCTGTCCAAAGCCCCTAGGATGTTGGTTTCACAAATCACAGGAAACTGCAAGAGTATTTTGAAGGAAGTGGGACTCTCTCAGCTGGGGGAGAAACGGGGATGGAAAGTGCAGGCGGTGGTACTGAAGATCAGGGTCTCCAAGTGGGGTGCGTGGCCCAGGGCATGTGACACACATCCACTGAGATGCAGGGGAAAAAACCCTCAACACTGAAGCTCCTTTCATTTTATTTAAAATCTCCTCCTCTTAAGATTTTATTTTTGTGTCTGTTTTCTAATGAATTCATAATATGTTCAGTGGTAAGATATAGCTTACGAATATTCATGTATTCAGAGAACGCACAGGTTTATGTTAATGGAGCATGCACAAGACAGTGCTTTTGCGATGTGTCAGGTGATACATGCTACAGAAACGTAAATTAGAGAGAGGCACAGGGTGGTGCTGTTTTAGGTAGGGTGGTCCGGAACGGTGTGCCAGGAACATTTAAGCAGACACCTGGAGGAAGCCCAGGTCAGCCTGGGGATGTCTGAGGGAGGCGGGGCAGGGGTGTGGCCTAGGCAGGAAGCGCCGCCCTCGCAAAGCCCTGCCGGGCTTGTTTGGGGAACAGCGAGGAGGGGGAGGTGGCGAGGAGGACACTGATGGAGCGGAGCCTCTTGTCGTGTCAGGCCTCCAGGCTTTGGGGAGGATTTTAGATTACTCCAAGTGACCTGGGTAGTCACTGAAGGAGTTTGATCTAACTTGTGTTTCAGAAAGGTCACTAACTGCCACGTAGAAAATAAAGTGTTAGGAGGCGAGGGTGGGAGCCAAGAAAGAAGTTAGGCGACTGCAGCTACACAGGCAAGAGGTTTTGGTGGCCCTGACAGGGTGGCAGCGCTGGTGAGAAACGGTCCGATTCTGGGTCCCTTTGGAAGGCGGGATGCACGTCCGCTGAGAGACTGTGTGTGGGGTGTGAGAGGCGGAGGACTGCCCAGGGTTTGGGGCCCCAGCATTTGTTGGAATCTTGAGACACGAACATAAGTCACGACATTTATTTAAGGGGGTCCCATGTTTAGTTCACCAAATGTGTTCCTTCTGTGAATGCTTGAAAGAGCCTCGCCTGAACCAACTCAAGTATTATTGTTTCCACTGTACGTCAACAGTAGCTCAGCAATGAGATATCAGTGAAGACACAAGGAGACCTGGGGGGGCAGGTCGGGAGGAAGAGGGGGACTCAGGAGGTCAGTGTTAGAGAAGCGAGGTTGGATGTGCCAGCTGTGCAGGGAGGTCGGAGGTCGGGAAGGAGCCGGGGTCCCTGTGACTGCAGGGAGGTTGGAGGTGGAAGTTTAGGAGTCATCCTTGTGGAGAAGCCATTTCTTTTTTTTTTTTTTTTTTATCTTCACAAGGACATGTTTCCATTTCTTTTTTGTTCAGATAGAGTGGGAGGGAGAGAGAGGAAGAGAGAGAGAGAAACACCAACGTGAAAGGGACATATCCAGTGGCTTCCACCTGCACGACCCAACCAAGGCCGGGGACAAACTGCAACCGAAGTACGTGCCCTTAGCGGGAACCAAACCTGGGTCTCTCTGGACCGCAGGCTGATGCTCTAACCGCTGAGCCAAACCGGCCAGGGCTGGAGAAGCCATTTCAACCATGAGCTGGAGGAGATCTCAAAGGGGGTGAGTATAGGAGCGGAGAAGCCACCTGAGCCTTGGGCACTTTTATAGTTAGTGATTGGAAAGAAAAGGAAGAATCTAAACAAAAGAAAAAAGGTCTTCATTCTCTTGCTGCCTTTCATTTTTTCCCGTGAACAAGACCTAAAGCACGAATGTTGGAAAATACCACTTCTCTTAGAAAGGAGTGGAATAGGCATCGGTCACAATATTTTAATCTCAGCGTTTGGAAGGTTTTCCCACCGGGCCTGGGCTAAGTGGAAGCCTGAGGAGCCGCACGTGGTGTTTCTGCCTTTAGAGAACCTTCTGGCGGGCGGCGCTCACGCGGTCGCAGCTCTCAGGTAGCGGCGGGCTGTGGGCACGGACAGCTGTTCTCCGGCTGTGTCTGGGGCCTCTCGGAGAACAACAGAAGCTGTCTTGATGTCAGGTCAGTCTGGGCGCCTTGAGTTTGGTTGGTCAGCAATGGGACCAGGTCATCGGTGCTTGTACGGATCTGCAAGGGGAGCCCTGCTGGGCGGGAGAAGTCACGACAGTGAGCACTGGAGCTCACTGTCGTCTGTGGCTGCGCGGGTCCCCGAGCGGGCGGGGAGAGGTCTTCGCTGTGGAGGGGCTTCTCCGGATTCCATTAGGACATTCATTCCAGGGCTGTTTGCTCGGGGTGAGCCTCTGCTACACATATACAAACAAGGGTGATGTCAAATTTTTATTTGGGAAAATGAGTATTTTCTAGACACATTTCCTTCATAGGCTGTTGAGCATAAGCTGTTTTTGAACCTTTGTTTTAGTAGCTGGCTAAGGCCAGCAGCCACCCTCCCAGGGGCGAGGGTGAACCTTAAAGGAGGCGTAAAGAGCTTGTGTTTTAACACTGTTATTTAACTGAGGAAGACAGACTTTGGTCAGTCACTCAGTGTCATGAGAATGCAGGTGTTCTGAAGTCAAGGGACATTTTTAATAACCAAATATTTTTTTTTTATCAATTCATAAAATTAAAATGAATAACTTATGGAATAACTGACCATACAGAAGACTGTATGTATACATGAGAGCTATGAAGCCTGGGAAGAAAACAAGCCTTTGCCCACCACCCGACTTCTGCCCTCCCCGTTACCAACACTGCTGCGCCCCGGGCCCGCCCTCCTGACCCCTCTCCACACACGTGCCTCTCTCTGGAGTTTTGTTTTTCTGATTTTATAGTGTGGCCCTATAGTATCTGTCCCTAAAATATTTTAGTTGGGCTTGCTTTTGGGCTTTATAAAAATATAATCAGAGTTTCCTGTAGCTTTCTCCTTGTTGTCTACATTGTTTCTACCCATATCAATGAGCATATCTGTATTTTATTCTTTTTATTACTATATAAGATTCACTGTGTATATTTGCTTGTGGAGTATACCATAGTAGAGCCCACCTTTTTATTATGAAAGTTTTCAGACATACCTCAAAGTAGAAGTAGTTCAGTGACCATCCATATACCCTCCACTTAGACTTAATAATTCATATTTTGCCCCCGTTGCTGACATGACCCCTCCTTCTCTGAGCTTCCCCACATATCTCTTTGCAGTGACATTCTCCTGTGTAACCATCAATATCACATCTAAATACATTAACAATACATCCATGTTAATATCTCATCTATAGCTCATAACCAAATCTTCCCTATTGTCTCAGGCATGTCTTTTCTGGATTTTTAGAAATAATCAAGATCCAATCAAAGTTTATATGAATATACTTGGTTGTCTGTCTCCTTAAGTCCCTTTTACCCTTAAAGTAACGCCACCGACTTTCTGAAGCATGTAGGCCAGCTTAGAGAATGTACCACACTCCAGACTCATCTCTGTCTCCTCATATCATGTAACTTGTCTCTCTGTTGCCTGAGTTTTCCATAGATTCGGGTTAGGGTTAGGGTTAGAGGTTTGATCACACGCAGGTTTTGGACGGAGACTCACGAAGGCCACGTATTTGTGTTCATTGCCAAGGCGGCATGTGCCAGCCAGCTTCCCATTAGCCACAGCAATGGGTTACTTGGCACGGTGGTGCCTCCCTCACCTCTCCCCTGCAAAGGTACATTCCCCCTTTGATTCATAGCTCACCCTCTTCTGAATAACTTGAAAGTTGGCACGTTCACATTTAATATTTTGAGTGTCCAGTTGGTTTCTGTAAATAGCCAACATTTGTGTGTAGCCATGTCTGGAGAATAAGACTTAGGATCCAGCTGGAAATACTGTTTTGGGCTTAAGAGCAAGTGAACAAGATAAGAGCAGTTTTTGTGGTGTGACTTAAAGGGTATTTCTGAAAGAGTAATTACACACATTTATTTTTTATTTTTTTATTCCTCACCTGAGGATATTTTTCTATTTATCATCAGATAGAGTGGAAGAGAGGGAGAGACAGAGAGACAGAGAGAAACATCGATGTAATAGAACCACATCTACTGGTTGCCTCCATGTCACACGACCTGACCAAGGCCAGGGACAAACCGCAACCAAGGTACGTGCCGTTGACTGGAATTGAACTCACAACTCATTGGTTCTTGGGCTGATGCTCTAACCACTGAGAAAACTGGCCAGGGCTATTAAAAAGTAAATGTATAGCCCTGGTCGGTTTGGGTCAGAGATTAGAGCGTCGGCCCGCGGACCAATTCTCTAAGACGTCGGGTTTGATTCCAGCCAAGGGCACGTACCTTGGTTGCAGTTTTGTCCCTGGCCCTGGTTGGGGTCGTTCAGGAGGGGACCAATCGATGCGTCTCGCTCACATCGATGTTTCTCTCTCTTGCTCCCTCCCACTCTATCTAAAGATAAATGGAAAAATATCCTCCAGTGAAGATTTAAAATGAATAAATAAATAAATAATACATGTTTAGATGGACAGTGTTATTACTTCAACAATATTTATTTGTATGCATACATTTGTTTCTTTTTTAAGAAGTCCATACCTTATAGTTGTACAGTTTATTCATAATACAGGCAAAAGCTCATTGCCTAAATCCATGGGACAATCAAAGAGCACCTTCAGAAACAGACATAATTCTGCCTGAAGGTAGTTCCCCCTCTCCTGACGGCCTCGTGAAAAATGCATCTTGTTGGAAGAGAATTTAGGAACAATGAATCGCTATCTTGTTGGGATAGAATTTAGGACAAATGAATCACGCTCTGTAAATGAGTGTTCAAATTCCAAAGTCCATCCGACGTTCAGAAGCGTCCGCGCTCCCAGGAGACCTGTGCTCACGTGCAAGCAAGTCCCCTCCGAGGAGCCTCTTCCCGTGTGTCCGTCTGTGTTCAGATTTTTAGCAAATCCCGCTTTACCGCAAATCACTTGCTTCTAGAAATGTCAGCGGCTAAGTCGCATGCTTCAAGGAAAGTGAAATAAATCCCCTCAGGACCCAGACTATGAAAGGAAAGACTTAATGGACTGGTACTCAGGTCAGTGTCATTTCAGAATCTCAGTCACTGGTTCCTGAACATCCGTTGTGTTTACGAAGGAGTCAGACTCCGAGGCCCTGGGCTCGTGAGCCTAATAGCACCGTTTATGCCGAACTGCCATTGATCACTTAGGGTGGGAAGTGTGCGGTGAGCCCGGAGAGCACCGAGTTCTAGAAAGCGTGTGATGCACCGTGACCGGCACGCGTCAAATGTTAAGGTTTAAAGGACCCATCCTTTTAGCTTCTGTTTCCAGGCGGTAGTGGTATTTAAAGATAAGTCTTTTCTTTTCCCATATATATATATATATATTTTTTTAAATTGAAGTATATATAACATTTGTACCAAAAAGTGTACAACAAATCACCAGTGTATAAGCTGAGTGAAGTTTCAAAGTGTAACCATTGTGCAGGTCAGGAAATAGAACACAACCCGTGTCTCAGAAGCCACCTCACACGCCACCTCCTCCTCGTTGTCCCCTTGCTCCGACTGTAACTATTATCCTGACTTCTGACACTAGATTCAGCTTGGTCCCCAACACATACACCACACAGCCTCTCAACACTCGTGTGTGTGTGTGTGTGTGTGTGTGTGTGTGTGTGTTGACAAGTCTTCAGTAGAATTTTGATTGTAAATCTCTGTGTAATTAGTGAGTCTAAAGAAGTTACTGATTAATCCAGGAGAATTTTTAACAAAAACTAGCACACAAAAATGTGCCCTGAGGCCAAAATTGGGAACACGGAGAAAAACAAAGAGGGAGAATCAGAGGCATTTGCTCCTGAGAGATTTCATTTATAGCCGCCCCGTTTAGGCGTGGTGTCCGGGGAGCCCGGTGGAGCGCCCCCGCCAGGGCACTGGCGAGGAGAACACAGAAATGGAGAGTGGGAGTGGCCACCCAGAATTCTGTATTTGTTTATGAAGAGGGCTTATAACACCTCTCCCATGTAAAAGTCTCTTCTCCAGTCCCCTCTCCTTCCCAGAACCCTCCCAGAGTCCAGGAAGTTGATAAGACTTTGCAGTCCTTAGAGTTGGTTCTAACAGGCGTGATTTTCTGGTTTCCTGGTTTCTGGCACATTAGGAGAGGGTAGGGCGGCTGGTTCCCTGACCACAAGGCAAGTGACAGCTGAAAAGCCTAATAAAAGGGCGTGGTATCAAAAGCCATAAAAACCCAAGAACTCTGAAAGCTTTGGGCCTGGCTACAAGTAGCCTTATAGACTTTCCCAGCCCTGAGGGCAGCACTGCATTGTCATGCTCAGTGTGAGCCTGAGTCATTGTGGAGAGTCCATTACGTGCACTTCCTGGAATGAAAAAACTGCCATCTGAAAACGATTAGGAGCCTGGGTCTGGAGTCAGCTTGCATTAGTCCTGCATTTGGTATTTGCAGCTGCGTGGCCCTGAGCAATTTGCTTGGCCTCATCTGTAAAATGGGGACAATAGTGTCCCTTCCTCATAGCCTTGTTATGAAGATTAGATGAAATTCTGGGAGGTTGCTTATTAAGCTGCAGGTGGATGTTAGCTGTTATTAATTTTTGACACTGTGATAAATGATAAAGTGGAACATCCTATTCTTTGGTTACAAATGAGGTGTTGCCTTTTAAAACACAGCTTGAGATTTCCCAGCTAGGGCCTCCCTCTCTAAGTACACACAGAGCAACAAGATAACTGCAGTTGACCTTTGAGCAAAAGGGTCAGCTGTACTTTTAATACTTGGAAGTAACAGAGATGTTTGTACTTTGAAGCCAGTCATAATATAAATTTAAATAATTGGACAAAACTAGCCAAGGAGACAAGCAAAGACTCCCAAGAAGAGGCTCATACAATGGTTTATTCCTCCTCACGTCTAACATTGCTCTAATATAACCATACATTGTCTAGGTCCTTTCACATCCTCTCCCGTTTTTCCCTTGCTCACCAGGGGTCCTGTGTACCACGGAGACAGATGATGCATTGTCTCTCTTTCTTTCCTTCCTCGGTGCTATTTAGATGGCTGATTTATGAAGAACCTGGATTTCAGGGAATCCCCTTTATCCTGGAGCCTGGTGAATACCCTAACTTAGCCTTCTGGAACACAGAAGTGGCGTACATTGGATCCATGCGGCCTATGAAAATGGTAAAAATGAAATGTAAAAAGAGCGTGCTTAGAGTAGGTGATTCTTTGCCAGCCCGACATCGATGGTTCATTCACAAGATGTGACTTTGAAGCAATAAAGCAGACTTTTTTTTTTTTATCCTCACCCAAGGACATTTTTCCATTTTTTTTTTTTGTTGTTCAGATAGAGCGGGAGGGAGAGAGAGGAAGAGAGAGAGAAACATCGACGTGAAGGGACACATCGAGTGGCTGCCACCCGCATGACCAACCAGTGCCGGGGACAAACTGCAACCGAGGTACATGCCCTTAGCGGGAACTGAACCCCGGTCTCTCAGGACCGCAGGCCGACGCTTTAACCGCTGAGCCAAACTGGCCGGGGCTAAAGCAGACTTTTAAAAACAAACAGGTGGTAGATAGAAATAACAGGATGAGTTGCAGGATGCCTCGGGTGCAGAAATGTGGATAAGGCCATGTCTGTTGCCGTCAAGGCGTTCTTGACCTCACGGAGCCCTGGGTGTGTGCCCAGAGCTTCAGCCCAGGGCAGGTTTAGGAAGTTAAGAAAGTGCAAGAAATTAAACCGTTGTGGAAAAACCGGAGGAAGGACAGATAATGTCCAACTACTGGGTGATGTGAACGAGAAGAGGCTACTTGGGAGGCGATTTCCCGGGGCGGGGCTGGGGAACCAGGGCAGCTGCGGCCCAGCCCGGTTGTGGTGGCAGGAGGCTGGGCAGCAGCTTTGGGGCATTGGGGCCAGATGTCTAAATGAATGTCGTCTTCCCAAGTACTTGCCTTAGAAAGGAGCCTGTGCCTGCCCTGCCCCCCACCCCAGCCCCCACCCTCGTGTGCGCCAATCCTTGTTTCTTGTGCTAGGCTCTAAGCCTTGGCAGGACCCAGGGGCAACTGTCGTGTGCCCCGTGCTGAGCAGCGAGCCACAGTGTGGTGGGTAATCACCAAACACGCGTGGCATGCGGGAGGCTCTCCTTACAGACATGTGTTTGAAATTCCGCTCTGCAGTTGTCTTCTGAGTCAGTTTGAAATAAATTGGAACTTCAGGAAGACAACTTTTTACTTAATCTCACCCTCCTGCCAAAGCTCGTAGCTACTTAAGTACATGTTTGATGGTCTTAATGCACACGATTTTGGGCTTTTTTCTAAGACTAAATCCACTTTCAAAGAACAAAGTTTTGTGATTGTAGCAGAGAATTGCCCCTGGCTTAGAAGGCAGTTTTTAATGATAATTTACAAAACTGTGAGGTTTATGACATTCGAATCAGATTACTTTCGAAAAGGGTACTTACTTGGTTGTATAAGCTCTGGTTTGTTGACAAAATCAGCCACATTCTTTTATAATTACAGTGCATTTGGTACATTTAAACATTTTTGGGGGTGCTTTTTCTTTTTTAAAAAAGCTATTAAATGTGTAGGTGAAAAGTATCCTTCTGATTTCCCACTGCTGATGTTAACCCTGTTTGATAGTCCTGTGTAATACCTTTTCTATGGTTTATTTTTAGTGAGTTTTGGGGAATTAAAAAAAAGTTTTTATTATAAAAGTAGAACAACCCCCATAGATCCATCCTTTGGGATGTTTTAAATTTTACCTCACAGTTTTAATTATTTCCAGAGTCCTTCAGATCATATGGTGTGCTTGTGTGAACTTCAACAGTTTTGTAAACCACTGGTTGGGAAATCAAATGCCTCTGGGGCCAGACAGCAGAGGCCTGAGAGAGGCTGGCTGGGAGTCGAAGGGAGGGAGGTGGACACAGGCAGACCTGAGTCCTGGCTGGAGGATGAGAGCAGAGTTAGTTCTGAAGGTGAAGGTTGCCGCCTGCGAGAATTTGGGTCCAGAGATGTCAGATCTTAGGACTGCTTTTTAGGAGAAATGGAAAATACAATTAAAAAATAAATAAAAGTACTGTTAAAAAACAAAAACAACTAAGATGTATTGGGCCAAAAAGCAAGCGACCAGGTAGATGCAGCTGGTAGACCCGTCTGTGAGACTGCTCCGGACCGGCTTCCTCGTGTCTCCATCTGCGTCGCTGGCCATTTCACAACTGTCTTCATGTAAATGTAAACAAACCAGAGTGTTCGCCCTGTGAGGTTCGTGCCATAAACTGCCACGTGTAATATAAAAGGGTAATGTATCCATGAAAAACCATCTTTCTCACTGTGCTTTCTTTCCAGGGTGGTCGTAAAGTTGAATTCCCTACAGACCCAAAGGTAAAACTGTATATATTTCACATTTTATTACCACTCCGTCTCTGTGAAGGGAACACTTGTGAGCTTTCACAATTCAACCTGCATAAAACATAATTGCAGCCGAAGGAAGTTGTCCCGACTTCCACGTGCCCTCCTCCAGGCTGGGAGGCGGTGCTCGGGCACCAGTCGGCACCGGCAGCACCGGCCGTGGCTCGGAGGCTCCCTCGCTGTATCGGGTTAATTCGCAGTCGTAGTTGCTAATTGCAGGGCCTGTGGCTGCTTGCCCGTGCGGCGGGCAAACGCTTTGCAGACCAGTTCTCCCCACTCCAAAGGCTTTCTGCTTCCTATACCTGCGGCATACTTTGATCTCTGCTTTGTTTCATTTTTAAAACAACTTAGAATCTTCTAGTTCTTTAGTGGGGCCTAAGCGCAATGCTAAATATCAGTTCTAGACGTTGAAACAAAACCCACTGATTTATAAACTATCTTTTGAACCTTAGCTTTGGGCTATACCAGGCTGGGGGGTGGAAAATCTGATTTTTTAAATTATAAGATACTGTTACTTAGTTAATTTTTTAAAATATGGTGAGAAATTTTAAATTTGTGTTCCAAGGCCTAGTGTTAAATGACTGATTTAACCTTCAGCTATCTTACAAATTACTGCTGTATCTCGTTTCTGTTATAGGTAGTTATTTATGAAAAGCCTTTCTTTGAGGGAAAATGTGTGGAACTAGAAACGGAAATGTGTAGTTTTATTATGGAAGGAAGCGAAACAGAAGAAACCACTGGAGAGGAACATCTGCCGTTGACATCTGTGGGATCTATGAAAGTTCTCAGAGGCGTGTAAGTAGATAGGCACAACCTGTGAGGATTTCTCTTTAATCACGGAAACACGCCCCCTCCCCGCAAAGAGTATCCCACATCATATGGTAGAGAGAATCTCACCCATGTTCTCCTCAGCCAGGTGTGACCTAGATTTGACCGGAGTTTGCCCCCAGGGCTGGTTTGGGGTCAGTCACCTGAGCAAGGCTGAGATATTGCCCTATCCGGATTGATCAAATCTGCAATCTTGTTTATTAATATTATGTTCCAAACTATTGAACTGTTTGCTTTCTACTGTTTATGATCATATTTTGTACTTTCTAGATCTTATTCGTTTCCTTTGGAAATATACACTAAAAGTGGTCTTGTAAATAGGCAAAAATACATAATATTTTAATTACTATTTGAAGAAAGTTTATCCAGTTTTGTTTGCTGATGTCCTTTTGAGTCATTTTTGTTAAACACACACACACACTCACACACTAACACACTCACACACTCCTCTATCTTTCTTTACAGACTATTGATATATGTTTCTTAGATTGTTTTCTTGGGGTCAATCTGTTAGTCTGTTAAATTTTAGAAAGAATTCTAATAGTCATAATGCATGAGTTCATCTCTAACTTTATAACTATTTGTATTTGTCAATGAAACTCGTATATGTTGGAAACATTTTAGCACTCCTGAGAATTTCGACTCCATATTTTTTTCTGTTGCAGTTGGGTTGCTTATGAAAAGTCTGGATTTACAGGTCATCAGTATTTGCTTGAAGAAGGAGAATACAAGGACTGGAAAGATTGGGGAGGTTACAATGGAGAACTTCAGTCTTTACGACCTATATTAGGTGTAAGTTAAAGAAAAGCTAATGGCTAATACTTGGTGTTTTAGGATAATACGTGGCTAGCCTTTTCATTTTGATTTTTTTTTTCTCAATAGGATTTTTCAAATGCTCACATGATAATGTACAGTGAAAAAAACTTTGGATCTAAAGGTTCTAGTATTGATGTATTAGGAATTGTTGCTAATTTAATGGAGACCGGATATGGAGTGAAGACACAGTCTATTAATGTCCTGAGTGGAGTGTAAGTAAAATAACCACTGGGATTTTAAACATGGGTTTCACCTTGGTTTATGTTAAGCATATGCCTTCTCTGATACAGAGAATTAAACTAAACGTTCAATCAGTCATTTAATACCTATTGCCACAGTATTTTCATAACCGCTTTTCAAAATCTTTCTCACTTAACCTTTTTTCATATGTAACATAACACTGGGCCGGCTTTGGGGTTTTATGATAGAAACCTACAGTGCACTTCCCTTGTTACTCTGCAGGGAAAGATCTCATGAATCTCCTATGATGGGAATCAAATGATAATAGAGATTTAACATTAGAAACCTGAGGTTGGCACCATTCCATCTTCCCGTGGCCCTACACCCACCCCATTATATTTCTTCACTATTATTTTGACATAAAAATAATTATTTCAATGTCCCCGGAGTTAGCAATTGAATGCTTTACTAACTGTGAGCTCAGTTTTTATTAGAAGATGGTCAGTCAAGACTCGTTGGGACGCAAGGGACTGCAGGCCAACCTAAAGTGGTGTGAGTGATGGAGATGGCACTCACTGGCCTACGTGCCCGAAGTGGCCTGCAGAGGGCGTGCTTCAGTCATGGCTGCTACAGGGGTTCAGACACCGGCATCGTCTCTTGCCTGGGCGCTTATTTATGTTGGCTTCACGTTAGGCAGGCCCTTCCCACCTGGTGGCCTCTGGCAGCACCATCTGGCTTTGTTCTTCTGTCTCACTACTTCCAGTGCAAAGAGCTTCTGTCCCACAAAAGGTCCAGGTGTGACTTTGATTCTGTAGACTTGAGTCATTTGCACCTGCCTGAATCAGTGACGAGAGCCAGGGAGACGCTGTGGCTGTGTTATGTGCCCATCGCTGGAGCTGCGGTGTAGGTTCAGTCCTGGGGCCACACACATGATGGGGCGAGCAGTTCCTGAGGAACATGGGAAAGAATGGGCACAGACACTGGATGGGAAAACAAAACAACAAAACAAAACAAAAAACAGTAACAAAAGAAGGTGTCTATTAAAAGGAATTCTACAATTATTCTTAGGATCCAGGCTGATGTCAGTTCTAATTTGTTGTGACTGAGAGTATTCTTAAATGGTTATACGAAATCATTTGACACTGGTTTTTATTGAAAGTGCTTGCTGTTAGGATTTTATGTCATGAGTAGTGACACAGGCTGTTTGAATCATTCTAACGTCAACCCGATTGTAGCTCATGGGGCCTTTCACAAGGGCGCTGGATAGCTGAGATGTGTCTGCAGTGTGCTACGCGTGTACTGTGAGTCACGTCCTCCAAATTCTTGGGTAGGTTGTTGCTTGGGCTCCACCTTGGCAGAATGACAATAGGGACTTCTGGTTCTTTCGCACTTAACAGGAAATGCTTTCTACTGCGTCCTGTTCTGGAGCCCTACCATTTCAGACCCTGCAGATAAAGGGACCCGTATGGCAGAAGTCACCTGAAATATTGCTGTGGCAGTATTTAAAGACTGCCTTTGAAGTTAATTATTTAGAAGGAAAATACAGTGGCCAGGTCCATGTGGGCAAACAGTCGTACGTTTTGATACTCAGCAGGTGCATTGCTTCAATTACCCAGAGCCCAATCCTGCAGCCTAGAACAGGAAGCCCAAGGATGCCGGGCAGAATCTCCCCAGGGCATCTGTGTAGCTTCTGCTGTTTGCACGGATAGAATTCCTGTACCTGAGGCCAGTCTTTCTTTGGTACCCAGCCCTTGTTTATTTGAAATCACTTTCCTTTATCAAATGTTGCTCTCATGTGTTTCTATTTTTAGTCAATTCTAATAGCATTTCCTGGCGTAGGCTCTTTTTCTGGGTGTAGCAGTTGAGTTGTGGTATTGGGGAAGCTGAAGGGAGGTATGCGTACGCATACCACTTCCTTTCAAATTCGGTGGCTGTGGAAAGCCTTCTGTATTTATCAGGGCCAGCTGCTTCCTCATGTTTCATTGGTCATTTGACAAATATTTATTGAGGTCTATTATGTGCACAGAATTATATTTGTCCTCAAAGAAGTCACAGTATATATATGAAACATAATTATTACTACAAAAGACAGGGATCGAGTGCTTTGGGGATCCACGGCAGAGAGATGACTTTCCAGTTTGAACTCAGGGAAGACCGGAGGTGCTGGCACTGGAGGAGGGCCCCGTGGGGCGGGGCGGGGGAGCCGTGCCAAGATTTGAGGGAGGAAGACAACCCTATTCATGTTTAAGTTTCAAAGAAAAAATATCTTAATAATTTTTTCTCATTGGTAAATAAACATTTTTGTTTGGGTTCTTTATTTATTAGTATGGAACTCAAAGTCAGAAAAAATCTTTTGAGAGTCTTGCTCTGTGAGTTTTGTGTAAGTCAAGCCCTTTGGACAGTAAAATCGTAATCTGTTCTAATTATGACATGTGTGGACTGCTTTAAGTGTGGACTGCTTTAAGTGTGGCCTGAAAGGCAACTTTAGGGCAAGTGGCAGTTCGGGTCATGCAGTGAAGAGAACTTGGTGAGCCCCAGGAGACGCAACCATGGGTTCGGTCATCCCTGGCCACTAAGTTACTGTATCACCTTGGACAAGTCACTTCCCATTCAGAACAAACATCAACAGATACTTTCCATGTCATACTTGTTACTCATCTGTCAGCTTTTGAGGGCAAGGGGTTTGTTGCCCTCAAACATCTGCATACCTAATGCTAATCTAGTTCCTGGCACATGGTAAATGGCCAATGTTTGTTGAATGAATAAGTTAATTAACTTTTCTGTGTCTCTAGGTTTTTCCTTCTGTGAAATGGAAAACCAGTACATCCCTAGAGTACATCACTAACGTGCTAATAGATGTGAAAGCATCCTGGGGAGTTCTTAGTACGCATGCAGGCCTATAGGTAGTATTCCTTTAAGCTGTGAGAGGACCAGTCGGGCAATGAATTAACCGAGGAGATACTTGACTATAACAGAATTGGAAAACTTTCTTCCTCTCAAAGACTTGATCTTGGGTCAGAAATAGCATCCAATAATAAGCTGGTTTTGTTGATTTTCCGAGTGTAGATCACTTAAAAGGTAAATGAAAACATTCCAGAGAGATTTGTTTTTAGTATTTCTGAGCATTGTTCAATTTTGCTTATTACATAGCCATGTTGTGTTGGAAATCTTATTTAAAACAAAATTTTACTTAGCTATTTTTATTTTTGATTTTGATTTTATTTATTTATTGTTTAGAGAGAGAGGAAGGGAGGGAGAGAGAGACAGAAACATCGATGAGAAAGAACATCGATCAGCTGCCTCCTGCATGCCCCCCACTGGTGACTGAGCCTACAACCTGGGCATGTGCCCCGACTGGGAATTGAACCGGCGACCTCTTGGTGCATGGGTCGATGATCAACCACTGAGCCACACTGGCCGGGCTATTTTTAAGTATTTCTTCTGTCAACTTTTTTTTCCAGTGTGGTTTGTAGTGTAGTAGAGACACAGCTTTCTGTAATACAGGGTGAGGCAAAAGTAGGTGTACAGTGTTTATATGGAAAATAATACAATAATTAGTAGGTAATAGTACAAGAATAAATTCTGTCTCACGTACTGACAACTGTAGACCTACTTTCCCTCACCCTTTGTATGGGTGGGGAAAATTTTAATGTTGATAAAGAAGTCTTACTTGCCTACTAAAAGAACTTTGACAGCCACTTCTTGAAAGTCCAAATTGTTTCCTGAGAATAGAATTAGAAGGAACTACAGACCTCCCCATTGGCGCTCTCTCAGGGCACAGGACTGAATTAGCGAGAACACAGAAAGGTTCACGTAGAGATGCTTTCACTTGCCACTTAGGTTTCTCATCCAGACGAATCTATCTGCTCCTAAATGATTCGTAGAGAATCAGAAGAATTAGGATTGCTGATAAGTGAAACAAATGAAAATTTCTGTGTAATATCTAGTTTCTCAAAGGTGTGTGATAGTTTTATTGTAAATGTAAACTATGAACTATGACAAAGCAGTGTTTTTGTTTCTTTAGATGGGTAGCCTATGAAAATCCTGACTTCACAGGAGAACAGTATATACTGGATAAAGGCTTTTATACCAGTTTTGAGGACTGGGGAGGAAAAAATTATAGGATCTCTTCTGTTCAACCCATATGTTTGGTAAGGAGTTATATTTTTATATGAGAACATTTAACTGAATTCTGGATTTCCTTAATGTGTGTTTCTGGTTCATGTAACACTTAACACTATAGAAGCTATGCTGGTATTATTTTTAACAGTAATTGCTAATCTGGAAGGGGGAAAAAGTTTTTTAAAGATGTCTGCTCTAATTATTTCCTTCTCTCTTCCCTTTAAAACTTTTTAGGATTCCTTCGCTGGCCCAAGGAGACGAAATCAGGTAACTTAACACATTGCATCCTGCGTAGAAATCTCTAAGACACACGCCAGGGACCGCACGTTTTTGGGCAAACTGCGTGTTAGGTTCTGCGCTGCACTCATTTGAACCAGCAGATACCCATTCCCTAGCTACTTCAAGAATATAGAACGGTGTGCTGTTTTTCGAACTTCGACCCTCGGGCGAAGAGTCACAAATACAATAATCCTATGTTACCCTGAGTTTCAAAAACTGAAATAGCTAATGCAAGTGCAAACCCCAGTTAACTCGTGCGCGGTCTGCAATGTTTGGGCAGGAGAACATGAGTTATCTCGTGAGTGGTCAAAAATGTGTTAAAAAAAATCCTATTTTAAAATAATGAGCAGCCATCTGTTGAAAAGCTGAAATGTGTAAAACTTTAGACATTTGGGGCATTTTGTTAGTTTTATCCATTTTTATGCCTGAAAGCATAACTGTATTTTCAGATTAAATTTCTTAATGCTTAATGGCATTGACCCATATCTAAATACTTCTTATAAAATGCTCTCATGAGGTACTGTTTAATTTTATATTATTATATTGAATTAGAGTTTACATGAATTTGCTGATTAATATTTCAAACAATATATATAGTTATGATAAACAGTAAAGTAAGTTTTCCTATTTGCTGTGTCTGCAGTAGACAAACATTTTATATGGTCTCTCGCTCAAGCCATTACACTAGTTATTTGGGCTTTTTAATGGAAGTGTTCAGACAGCCATAATTATAGAGGCACAAACACCTGTAGCCTCCTTTACTGGTATACACAACATTCTAATAAGTCAGCAGGTATCTTCCATTGAGAGGGAGGAAAACGATACTGTTTCCAAAATATAGTTTCTTGTAAATGTTAGAACTGAGGAACAATTACTTTTGGCCACAATAAAGCTTTAAAGTGCCTCAGCTTGTTAGGACAGCGAGCTCTAAAGAAAACCGTCTCTGTGGTTGGACTGTCCTTTGATGTCCCTGAATTAAACAACCCCGAGTGATACAGCCAAAGTACTTCTAATGGATATTAATGCAGAGGTAGAAAATGAAAGGACTTATAAAAGTTGTATCGGTTTACTGCAACAAGAGTTAACAGATCGTGTTTGGGTCATTTCAAATGCTGATTGAGTTCACGTGTTTGCAAAATAATTTTATGTATTTCCATTTACTTTTTCCAAGATTCACTTGTTTTCGGAACCACAGTTTCAAGGTCAGAGTCAATGTTTTGAAGAAACAACAAGTCAAATTGATGAATCATTTTCTACCAACTCTTGCAGAGTTTTAGGAGGCAGGTAAGCAAACCAGTGGACTGGCAGAGCCTAATTACTGGGGAAACAGACTCACACATGAGCAATATTTAGTGACACCTTCAGGGGCTCGGTATTAGCTGAAACCACCGAATACAAGGGTCCAGAATCAACACAGTATATTTCGCAGCATCTGAGTGCGGGACGTCAGAAGACATGGAGAGCAGTGTGGGCGGCCAGTTAAAGGTCACCATCTCACGGGATTTGGACCAGGGTCTTTACTCCCGAGGCCTATCCCGTCATCCATAAGGGGCTGGGAATAATCTCCGAGGCACCTCCCAAGGTAGATGTTTTCAGGTAGACAGGAGTAGGATGGGCACTGGGCAGGATGGGCGAGCGCATGGCTGCAGGGGGGCTGGTGTGTGCGGACCAGGGAGCGCAGCACCCTCTCCAGCTGGGAGGTGTTTCCCGGGGAGACGGGGGCCAGTGTGGGGGGGGGGCGTCAGGTCGTGAAGGCGCCCTCCGGACATAGGAGTTTAGATGAATGCCACAGGAAACATGACGGGAAAGGGGGTGCTCAGTGCCATGCTGAAAACAGCGGTTTCACAGAAGAGGGGAGAGCCCAAGGTCAGGGCAAACGAGGTGAGGAAACCCTCGGAGCAGCCTGCGCCAGAGGTGATGAGCAGTTCGGTCTAATAAGAGTGAGTGCCTTTGCTCTGTAGCTGTCTGGGGCCCAGCAGCCCCGCCTGTCCCTCGGCGTGGCGGAGTGGGAAGAGCAGGGCCTTTGCGTGCACGTGCAGGCTTGCAGGGAAGCTTCGCTGCCTACCACAGCCCCCTGCCTACGTCCAGTCCTCTTTAACACCCACCCCATTTCCTTCATTACCACCGGACATCCCATCTTCCTGTGCATTTGTCTGTCGTCCGTCTCAGCTCAATAGCTTGTAAACTTCAAGACAGCAGGAACTCTGGCCTCTGTTCTAGCCTCAGCAGTGGAAAAGTATCTGACACACAGTTAGTCCTCAAAGCACTTGTTGGATTAAAAAAAAAAAAAAAGACAGCCAACTCTTCCAACTCTTCTAGGCAAGCATGGTAAATCACCATTTTATCGATAATGTTGAGGCCCAGAGCTAAGCGACTTGTTTAAGTCACAGTGGTATTTCGACTCCTGGCCCCATGCGGAGGTGTTGGAAATGAGGATACAGGGATGGGAGAGAAATCTGGGGAGGAAACCAGACCCAGACGACTGACTGGCTGTGAAGGCTGAAGGGTTACTGAGGGGACTCCGGGGCCTGACCTTCACTGGCTGGGAGAAGGCAGCGCCCCCGAGAGGAGCAAGGGGCGCGGGCAGGTGGGGGTCAAAACACAAACCATTCCGTGGAGGGTTTTCTTTCCCAAATGCAAAGCCAACAACTGACTTATTATACACGTTCGCCACAAGATTAAATGCAGAAAATGTCGGTATTTTTGAAGGACACTGTTAGCCACAGGCATTGTGTTTACCTGACGGCGGGCTGCCTAACAGCGGCCCTCTTGAACAGTCTCCAGTCACGTGCTGGACACGTGTTTGTGGTTTTCCCTACTCTAGCTGGGTTGCGTATGACGGAGAAAACTTCTCTGGTAACCAGTACGTACTGGAAGAAGGCCACTACCCATGTCTCTCTGCAATGGGATGCCTGCCGGGAGCGAGCGTGAAGTCTCTTCGTTTTATAGATGTTGTGAGTATCGCGGGGATAGAGCGTTGCAGAGACGGATGGTTCACAGGGCTGGTGGTCGGAGCAGGAAACCAGCAGGCAGACTAGTCAGGGCTTAAAGTCAGAGGCAGGAAAAATAGTTGCAAAAGAACTTTCTATCTTATAACTTTTTTTTTTTTAATTTCTTTTTAAATCTTTTACATATACATTGTTTCTGTTTGCTGTTTTCTTAGACTTCAGGTGCAGTATTGATTCAGTCCTGTCACACAACCATCATGGGTTAGTTCAAGGCCCCTTTCCTATCTTTTCCATTTCATACCTGTCCCCTAGTTCCATTCCTCTCCCCTTTGCAGACACCCATTCCAGTGAGTGGGATACAGCTTGGATATCCTTATAAAACCTAGGTTTTCAGAAAATCTGTCTATAGGATTTTAAATGTTTTTATTGACTTTAAAGAGAGAGGGAGGGAGAGCAACATCGATCAGCCACCTCCTGCACACCCCCTACCTGGGATCAAGCCCACAACCCAGGCATGTGCCCTGAACGGGAATTGAATCAGTGACTCCCAGGTGCATGGGACGATGCTAAATCAACGAAGCCACACTGGCCAAAGCTGTATATAGGCTTTTGATTATATACAATATTATGCTATAGTTCTCACTACATCACAAACATAACTCAACACTTACACTAAATTTTTGAAGAATTGTTCATTGTGCTGTATGCTCATGTAGTTGATTGATTCTAACTGGTGCAAGTATCCCATTACCTGCTTTACTTACTTCTTGCTGTGCACCCACGGACCAGCGTGGGATCTCCCGGGAATCACGTTAGAGTGCACCTGCTGGGTTTATGTGCACGAATACGCAGCCTCGCCAAGTGCTGCCCGATCCTGCCACTCCAGACTCTCGCTGGCAGTGCACGTGGGTTCGTTTCCCACATCATTGCTATTACTGAGTATTCGGCTTTCTAACTTTTGAAGGAATTGCATAGAGTATTATCTTATTGTTAATTTGTGTTTCCCTATTAGAGAAGTTGGGATCTCATAGACTTACTAGTGATCTGGGTTTTCTGTTCAATGAATTGTCTATTTATATCATTTGCTCGGCCCTTTATAGTTTCCTGTATATTTTGTTGTTTTTGATTTGCAGAAAGTCCTTATAGTTTTAAAATCTGTTACTCTATTGTGTTAGAGATTTGCAATCAAATGACTTCTCCCGGTTTATCACGTATGTGCTAATCCGGATTATAGTGCCCCCTTTGAACAAAAATCTGTAATTTTGATGTCAAAGCATTATTCAGTAGAACCAAACTGCAAAATAATGTTCAGATGCTAGTCTGAGTGTGTAGTTTTGGAAACATTTTAATTTTTGGCAGCTGATCTCTCATAAAAAGCTTTAAACATTTGTAGTTAGTTGAGTTTAGTTTTAAAGGCAGAAAGAACATATATGAGTTGGCTTTCTCATCCTTACCTGCCTGTCCAAATAACTAAAATGCTGCCCTTTCCTGAGGTGTGAAATAGTAGCAGCGAAACATGGAAGATGCTACAGGCCATTAGCTTACAGGTACCACACACACCTCCTCCACAGTAACCTGCTGCCTACTGGTCAACAGAATCTGCATTCAGGGCACATTCACAGAAACGAGGCATAGGTCCCACACCCTTGCCACAACACTTGAAGCACGTAGGGAAGTTTTGATGTATCATTTATGGCTATAGGATTATCATTAGGGCTTCGTCTAGGGTCACAAGGGTCTATAATTTGAAACTAAATGACAGTTTGAACACAGGGCTTCCATCTTGTATTTTTTCCTCCCCTCCTGATGATATTCCTACAGGAAAGTTCGGGAGCATGAGTGCACAGAATCACTGTCTACTGACAAAACAAAGGACAGATGAAAATGCATATAGGGGAAGGTCCCTTGAGGAACCATCCACTAGAGCCCAAAGACTGCAGTAGCCCTCTGTCCCTGGCCATTTATGTCCATAGCTTTCCAGGCCCTGCCCCTCCTTATCCCAACAGAAAATGGCAGGATTGAAAAGAAATTCATTATACGTGTCGATATTCCAGGCATACAGACCCATTCCTGTGTGCCTGGGGTATCCCCTCCCCGCCCCTTTATAACACTATTTACTCGCCTTTCTATGCAGTAGAAACACATCCGTGCGCCCCCGCCCCCTCTCTCTTTAGCTTTGGGTAAACACTCCGACTTCCTGGGAAAGAGTTGATGACAGGCCAGGTCTCCTGCTCTGTTCTTGTAACAAGATGATTTTCGCCTAAGTTCAAGTTTCTATCAAAGATGAGTGACAGGACGTTATTTTTGTTCCTAAATAGGAATTTTCTGAACCAACAATTATTCTTTTCGAACGAGAAGACTTCAAAGGAAAAAAGATTGAACTTAATGCAGAAACAGTCAATCTCCGATCCTTAGGGTTCAACACGCAGATACGTTCTGTTCAGGTGATCGGTGGCATGTGAGTTTCCTACTTGTCTGTTCAGTAAGAGTTGATTTTAAAATTAAGTTTGATCATATCTCTTTCTCTCCTACGTTGCCTTAAACAGAGTGATATAGCCCCCTGTTTTCTGCAAGGAAAGTAATTATGTTCCTTCATAGTATACTTTTCTCATTGGGGAAGGCCCTGTGTGAGGCATCTCCCATCTCTTCCTCCAGATTTTTAGTTTACCTAAGGTAAGGACTTTGTCTTTAACACCTCCGAGTTCCTAGGGAATACTTTGCAAAGCAGTGCTCACTACATTTATTGAGCACTTTTTTAGCAAGTATGAGAGAGCTCATTTTTCTTTTTTTTTTTTTTTTTATCCTCACCCGAGGATATTTTTCCATTTTTTGTACAGATAGAGTGGGAAGGAGAGAGAGGAAGGGAGAGAGAGAGAGAGAAACATCGACGTGAAGGGACACATCGAGTGGCTGCCACCCGCACGACCAACCAGGGCTGGGGACAAACTGCAACCGAAGTACGTGCCCTTAGCGGGAATCGAACCTGGGTCTCTCCGGACCGCAGGCCGACGCTCTAACCGCTGAGCCAAACTGGCCAGAGCAGAGAGCTCATTTTTCCTTTCCCTTTGAAAGACCAAGTGCTTTGAATCTGGAGTAAGAGTTGAGACTTTCCTCTAACTAGGAGTGACTAGCAGATACTGTGCATGATTAATGGTCAATATGGGAAGATTTTTCTCAACTTTGAATAATTGTGAAATGAAATAAGATGTAAAAATGAGTAAGAACTATCAACCTAATAAGTGTTTTTAAGAAAGTATTTTTCTTTCATTCACAGAAACAATAGGTATAGTATACCAGTGTCCATTAAGTGTTGCAGAGGTCTATAGCTGTTTAAAAAACAATTATTTGGGTGCTAGAATTATGGGTGACTTTTTTCCAACAGGTTTTAATTCATTTTAGAGTTCCAGGATTAAAAGTTGGGAGCATTTCTCCTTGACACACACCTGGGCCAGAGGAAGGCTGCTGGGCGGTGTGCAGCCTTGTGTGGGAGCCAGGCCTCAGTTGCGGGCACCGGCATCTCTGGGAGGCCCGGTGACCCTGAGCAGCTGTCTCGGTTGAGGAAGATGACTCACTTTAAACAAAAATATGAGTTATTTATTTTTTATTTAACTAACCCCCCATAATAATAGTACTTAACAATATGCTACACACTAAGAACTTTACAAATACATATTAAGTGTTTATATAAAAGATCCATTATTACGACTGAAATTGTTTTATGAAAAGCTCCTAGGAATACTTGGCTTTCCCACTAAAAGATTATTATCTCTATTGCACTGCTTTAGTGGAAGAAAAAAAAAAACTTAACCATTTCTCTTCAAAAATGGGTCTTTTGGGCATAAACATGTACCAAGAATTTGCTATTTGTCAAGAAATAGGTACGTTAAGTGTTTTAGGAAATAAGGTAGCCCCCCCCCCCATGTATATTTAAAGTATAATACTCAGTCTAAAAATTGGAAACACTCTAAAAATACACTGGGGCTCACGTCAAGCGGATATGCTGCTTACCTGTGCTTATCTGCCTTCTCTTCCCCAGATGGGTCACCTACGAATATGGCAATTACAGGGGGCGGCAGTTCCTACTGTCACCAGCAGAAGTACCTAACTGGTATGAATTCAGTGGCTGTCGCCAAATAGGTTCTCTACGACCTTTTAATCAGGTATATTTTTCTTCTCTATGCTTTGAATAGACTCTTCTCTGAAAAAATTTTTGTTAAATGTAATTCAACTTTTTAGTTTAATTCTAAGTTTGAAATTTGCCTTTTCCCTTTACCGCCCTGAGTTTCTGCTTTTGGGCTGCTTCTGGTGCTGAGGGCTGACTGTGCTCAGGGTACCCCACCCCACCCCCAGAACATGGCGGGTCCTAGGAGCTGGGCTGTCCAAGCAGGCCCCGGGCACTCTGACATTTCATCCAGATCAGTGACAAATCCTAAAGCCTCTGGCCTCCTGGGTACGGTAACTCTCCCTAACCCGTCCTCAGCTTGGATTCTGCCCCTGCTACTGATGCTTGTTCAAGCTTCTAACAGGGCAGCTTACATGTGATCATTGCTGGGGTTTCTGTCTTCTAGAAACGTATTTATTTCAGACTTCGAAACAAAGCAACAGGGTTATTCATGTCAACCAACGGAAACTTAGAGGACCTGAAGCTTCTCAGAATACAGGTCATGGAGGACGTCGGTGCTGATGACCAGATCTGGATTTATCAAGAAGGGTGCATCAAATGCAGGGTGAGCTTTGGGGTGAGACAGAAGTCTGGGCCGGCAGCTTTCAAGATGATGCCATTTCACGATTCCTGGAGCACCTTCAAAAATAAGTTACGTTTTTTGTGAAAATATTTCTTAGCTCTTACATAACCAGTCTACGAACGTAAAATGGGAGGTATATCTAGCACTGATCCAAGGTAGAGTATTGATATCTATACTCGATTTTTATATAGTAACATAAAAGTATACAGTAATTTCTACTAGGTATAGACATTCGCTGTAACCCCACATTATCGACACAAGACGCTCCTGGTCACTGCGGACGGAGGCCCTCACAGACTAGAGCGAAGGGTGACGAGGGAGCAGCCTGTGGACCACACAATCCATTTTCTAATTGTCACTCCCTGTAAAATGGAGAAGGCCCATCTGTCTCCCTCTCCTCACTCCTGCCATAGCACACGTTTAAGGGCTGCATGTAGTTAGAGTTTATGAGAGGAGCTCATGCTTCTGTTGTACACATTCTTTTCAACTTCCTGACTTTATGGGCTTGACTGCTCCCGATCTGACCGTGGCCCCGTGAGTCAGCAGAAGGCGCACAGCCTTGTGAAGGCTTGTTAGCTGGTCCGGGTGCCTGAGGGGGAGTCCGCCTTCCAGCAGAGCGCTGTTCAGACTTGCCTGGAAGGAACAGCAGGAGCTGTAATGAAGCAGCACAAAAAAGCCCATTTCTGCCTTTGAACAGAAGAAAATGGAGCCTTTCATCAGTTATTTCTAACAAATATTTCAGTGATGTCATTAACAACTTTGAATTCAGTAGGTCAAAGAGAAGTATCCTAGATTATCAGTCCCTTTTCTCAGTGTAGAACAGCACTTCCCATGAGCACTTTCTGAGCTATCTGTGTTGGTGTCATGAACATGTGACTCCCATACACTGTTTATATATTAAGGGTAGATTCTCTCCAGAGAGGGACCCATAAAAGTTCTGCATGGGTATCTTCTTCTCTTTTTATAGATGGATAGCAGGCCTCTTTAGAAAAATTGACATTTCTCATGAAGTAAAGACAAATCAATAAATGGAATTTCAAGTTTTAGAAAGACAAAATGCCCTTTTAGCTACTTGAGTGTTCCAACACCCTTCAAAATTAGAGGCGCAGCCACCTTCGCGAAGGTCCGGCCAGCAGACGTGGTTACGGGGGAGGAGATGTGGCTCCGGAGCCGGCCTCACAGGACAGTCATTTGTGGGAGGAAGCACTGCCGAGGGCAGCTTCAACGCTCTCGGCCTTCTCTCGCTCGTAAGGCGGTCTCGGAGGGCAGACCTCTCTTCCCTCGGACAAGCACAGGGACTCTCCCTCACTCGGGTCATCTGAACTAAAGGGCATGAGGGTGAATGAACCTGGGGTCTGGGGTCTGGGGTGACTGCACGTTGCACAGGGAGTGGAGTCCATGTGTCTGTCTCTGAGACGTTGTGTTCGCACGGAGCAGATAGCAGAAGACTGCTGCCTGACGATCGTGGGGAGCCTGGTCACCTCCGGCTCCAAGCTGGGCCTGGCCCTCGACCAGAACGCCGACAGTCAGTTCTGGAGCATGAAGTCAGACGGCAGGATCTACAGCAAGCTGAAGCCAAATTTAGTTTTAGACATCAAAGGTAAGGATCATTTCCTTTATTTTCTTGGGTGTGCCTTTCTTACAGCAGTTCTCAACCTGTGGGTCGCGACCCCTTTGGGGGTCGAACGACCCTTTCACGGGGGTTGCCTAAGACATAACAGTAGCAAAATTACAGTTATGAAGTAGCAACAAAAATAATTTTATGGTTGGCGGTCACCACAACATGAGGAACTGTATTAAAGGCTCGCGGCATTAGGAAGGTCGAGAACCACTGAACTACAAATCTATCTTTACTTTTGAAAATGGTGCGTGTACTCTTATAAATAGTAAGAGACCCCTTACTGTGTCAGCCACTGTGCTAAATACATTCTCCTCTTCACAGCAACTGGTTATTCCCCTCCTTCTCCTCCTTCCCCTCCCACTTTACAGCCCAAAACTGAGGCTCAGAAGGGATACTCCACTTGGCCGAAAGTGTTGAGATGGAATCTGGACATGGGCGGTCTGCAAACCTTTTGTCTTAACAGTGAGACTAAAAATCACAAGTTAAAGGGCTGTGATCTCACTTAGTAGAGTTGATGGTTCTCATGTCTATACATGTAACCTTTCATTGAAAAAAGCTAAGATCTAAAAGGAATTAAACAACACAGCCAAGAGGATTTCAACTGAACATTTGTTCAATGAAAACCCAGAGCAAACAGATGGTGCTTGGGAAGAACAAATACATTTAGAACAGTGTTTCCCAAACTTTATCTGCATCAGAATCACCCAGAGGACTGATAAAATGCACATTGCTAGGCCCCGCCCTCAGTTTCTGATACAGTAAGTCTGGGGTAGACCCAGGAATCTGCATTTCTAACAAGTCCCCCTTACTGCTGGGAGAACCACTGATAACTTAAAAACAACGTAAAACAAAGCAAACCTAACTTTCTAACAAAGACATGGGAATTCAGTGAGCTGTTGCTACCGATAAGCAACTGAAGTGTGTCTTATTCGTGTCCTATAGGGTAATTTTGCTTTATTTCCTATTTCCTATCAGGAAAGCCAACATGATTATGTTTATAAATTCAGTGAAATGGTATCAATGTACTCTTACTAGGTCACATACTTCATTTTTTAAAATTGCTAGAAAGTTAGCTCAATTTTACTTTAACCAGGGCTCTCAGCCAAACCTGTCATTAAAAATTGATATAGGGGTAAAGAAATAGCTGCAACTAGGTTTTAAAATAACCTTTCTGGATGATGGGGAATAAGCCTGAACATTTCTATCAAGGGCTCTGGTGCTGCATGGGGACAAGTGAGCACCACAGACCGAGTGGCCAACCCACTTACTGATGGGATTCGGGATCTGAGTTCCCAGAGAACCCGCGAAGCTGGGAGGAGCTCAGGGGCCAACGGCGAGTGCTGCACTGAGCAACGTCTACAGGCTGGGGTGGGGGGTGGGGGGCAAAACTCATGAAATGAGAGATACAAGAAAATAAATGCGATGTTCAGAAAATGAATGGTAATATAAATAGACCCCCTTCACATTATACTAGGTACAGGATTTGTCATGTGTGGACATTGTACAAATGACCGACCTGAGATTCAGACTGGTGAAGAGTCACTGAATCAGACCCTTCTTCATTCTTATTCATCAACTTGAACTAGAGCTTCTCTGTCTATAAAACATAGTTTCAAAACCTCCAGAGAAACCAAAGAAATATGACTAAATTGGAAGTGGATTTTTTTGAAAATATGGATTCATGTTACAAATGTCAGCTTCTTGTGTCTGGGGCAAAGGTCACTGTAACCCTTATGGGCTAATTTCTTATAGTATGTCTTCTTTTGTTCTTTCAACACGTATTTATTGGGTGCCCACTATGTGAGAGGCTCAAAGTGGGGAAAAAGGGACACTACCTCGGCTTCCGAGAGCTCCCTTCTAGAAGCGCCAGCAAACAGGACTTTTCCCCACTTCTTACATGAACAGTTGACCAGGAGTAAGGATACCTGGCTTCTAGCTTTGACCCTGACAAGAACTGTGGGACAAGTTCCAGAGTCCCTTCCTAAAATGCACTGAAATCAGCCCAGAGCCTCTCGAGTCAGGGTATCGTCTGCATGTCTGTGAGCTCTCAGTCTGGTGTGGTAGCTGCATTGATCACCGGAGGGCTTGTTAAACCAAATTTAAATTTGTCTCTGACTGTGGGAGAACAGTGCCATCTTGTGGACACCAACTGTGCAAAGGAAATATAAATCCATCTGTGTCTTTGGTGCACTTAGTAAGACACTATGATTTTCATTAGCTACAACTGTGGAGCCATTTGCTGCCTAGTAATGTTGCCGTAAGATGCATTAGACCTATCTGGTGTCTGGGGAGCGAGATGCTTTGGTAGACATTCATGTCTTATTCCAGACCACATAGATAATGACAACAGTGGGAGCTGATTCATGCTCACTTGAAAAATATCAGATACCTGGGAAGATTTAATTCTCCCAAAGGAAGAAGAATGGATCAGATTCTCTCTCAAGGACTTTCTAGTCTTCATGATTCTAATTAGAATTATGCTGTAATGTACACATAAAGTAAGTTAAAATACTATAATCTCCAAGAATGAAAAAGAAGATATCATGACCTTGAGACAACACTTCCTGAAGTCTCAGTGGGCACACTGTGTCTCGAGGGGCACGGCGGGGGCACGGCGGCAGTAACTTTTCCTTCCCACTGCAAACGGGCACACAGAAGGTCTGGGGCACACTGCCCTGTATTCTATCCTACACCTAGCTGTGTAGAGGCTCTAGATTATCAACAATGAGAAACCAAACTTGTACAAGAGGGACACTGGATAAGAGATGATTCCCTTCCTAAACTACCAAGATCTACAGTGTAAGTTATCAGAACTTTTGGATATTTTGGAAGTGCTTTAAAAGGGAATAAGGACAGTTAGTTCTTCTTAGCTTGAGGCTGCGGTATGATTTCAGTACCAGTCACACTTACCCTGCATCCAGAAGAACAGATTTCTGTTCTGATGGAGTCCCTGGTGCAGAGACTCATGCTAGAAAAGGATAAGGTATCTCTCTGAAAGAATGTTTATTCCACACCGGGAAAAATCAGACCACCCTTTCGTTAATACATCTCCACTGAGAGGAGACCATGTGCTGTTTTTAACACTGAAGTATCTGAAATATCTAGTAGAAACCCTTGGAAAATATTCTCACATTCGGTGAAAGGGGGTTTGTGGAGATCATACTCGCACACGGAGCTCAGCATCTGAAATGCCCTACTTTTAAACAGCAAGCCCGTGAGTTCAGCAGCAGGAGCGCTGCCCCCCTCTGGTTGTCATTCAGACCCCCCCTGGCACAAATACAGCCATTTTCCATCGTCCATGCAAAACCTGGTCCACCAGACAACCAGTCCACTGTCAGGTCTGCCGGTGATCCTCACTGGTGTCTTGAATCCATGACCCCACCACTGGATATATTCTGCAGTCTCTTTGTTCCTTTTCTCGTCTCTATATTCTTCCCTGTCCTCCCAATTTCAGACATCTAAGAATGCCTGTGGACTAGGAGTAAGAAAAGGAGCCCCAAGAAGTAGAAACTCCTGTGTGGAGCTGCTAGGGCCCTCCCTGGGGTGTCAGCACGTTTACCCACACCGACGCCCTGTCAGAAGGGGGGCCTGCCGGGTCCCCCTCCCTGCCTGTCTCCTGGGGCGCGTGGCTTTGCACCCTGGTGACTGTACTCTGGTTGTTCTGGTGCTGAGGTCAGCTAGGTCTGCTGCGGCCCCTCATCAGGCAGGCGCGTTTCCCTTTACTCTTCTCTCTTCCTTTCTTTCAGGGGGTGCACAGTATGATCAGAATCACATTATCCTCAACACTGCCAGCAAGGAGAAGTTTACACAAGTGTGGGAAGCCATGGTGCTATGAAGCGGGATGAAGCGCGCAGGAGGAATACTTCCGGAGGTCTTTCACCGGCCTTCTTAGAAAGAGGACTGCGGACGGACGAACCAGGGGGAAAGTGGATGTACTCCTTCAGTAACTTGAATTCACCCTTGACTCACTGCTGGGGCCGGGACAATACTCTCATCTCTTCCAAAGACTATACTGGTTTTGAACCAACAATTTGTTCCTCTCTCATTCCTTGCCTTTCATTTCCTTTCGGCAGCTGCTTGAACAGGCTGCCTCATTAAAACAATGTCATCAAGACATTCACACAACGTACATTTTAAATGATTTAAAGGTAGTGAAAGGAGAGAGAAGGAACAAACTCACCGACCTGGTGGACTGACAAATCCCTTACACTTGAAAGAGAAGGGTAAAAGCTTAAGTCTGTAAGGTAGAAACTCTTTAGCGCCTGAGAAGAGATAATGTGTTAGGCCTATAGCTTTGGTCCTTGACCTTCTGTTTTCTGGAATCACTAATGATGCTGTATAGCCAAGTGAGGAATTATATATTCATAGTTTAAGGAACTAAATGAGTATAGACAAAACACTTTTCCGTTAATATTAAAAGTTAGTAAATGTAAAAGATTCCATGCCCGTGTCTGCTCACACTCATTAGCAGGATCTGATTATTTTTTTATCCTCATCCAAGGACATTTTTCCTTTTTTGTTCAGATAGAGTGGGAGGGAGAGCGAGAGAAACATCGACGTGAAAGGGACACATCGAGTGGCTGCCTCCCGCACGACCCAACCAGGGCCGGGGACAAACTGCAACCGAGGTACATGCCCTTAGCGGGAACCGAACCCAGGTCTCTCTGGACCACAAGCTGGCACTGTAACCGCTGAGCCAAACCGGCCAGGGCAGGATCTGGATTATTTTAAGTCACCCTGGGCTGATCGTCACAAGAGTGTTAACGCTCTTCTCACAGATGCTGCTGGAACAGCATCACCATGACCTAACTGACTAGCCCATCCGCACTCATCTAGAACTAGTTCTGAAGCAACGTAAGCACTTCTTTGCTAAACTCAGTCAGTTAGCCGAATCCTGCCCCCTCCCAGCCTGCGGGGCTCCCTTCCCTGGGGTTGCACCGCCGCGCTCCGGCACAGCTCGGGTCTCAGGGTACTGCAGCCCCTGTGGTCACTCCCTTTGGGGTGGAAGGCTCAGGAGGATGACAGCAATTCTCTTCCAAAAGGAAAAGAAAGACCTTAAACGTGCTCGTTGGTCAAACTGTAGAACTCTGAAACCCTAACACTCAGAAGCACGTCAGTGAAAGCTGAAATGACTGCTGCCGACACAGCTCCCACGGTGCTACTCAGCGCGCTCCCTTTGAACAAAACTGCCAGACCGTCCTTGAGTACCTCTTCCTCTTTCTGTCCGCACTTCGCCGTCCTGGTCACCAAACGCTGGAGCTCGTCACATACCTTGTTTCCCTTCCATCTGTTCCCGTGTGTTTCCCATTCCAACGTGCGGGCCCTCTCCGGGTCTGCGGGAGCGACTGCAGTCCGAGTGGTGCGTCTGTCGGCGTGCTGTGTCCACGCCCACAGCAGCCAGCACGGCTGTCTTGTCCTGAGGTGTGTGGCCCTGGTTCTCGGCCTTCGTGCATCTCACTGCAGCACGATGGGCACATCCTACAGGGCCCTGCTGCATGTCTCTCTTGAATAAACTTGTTTCTGGTTGACTGTTGATGAAATCAGTCCTTTCAGTAGCCCTCGTCACACTTCAAAGAGAGCAGGGGGCAGATCAGAAACACGTCTGCCTGGTCAGGACCAGGCGGGTTTCAGGGGTGCTGGCCTGCAGCAGGGCAAGGTCGGCTGGCTCCCCTCCCGGACTCAGTGGTGAGAGGGTGCACCCGTGTTTCCGAGTGGGCAGTCCTGCCCACACCACCCCTGGGGACCCTCTGGGGAAAAGAGCTGAACGGTTCAGGTGAAAAAGTGGCCGCATGTACAGCTAAAGAGACAGCCTTCCTTTTGAGAGAAATACGTAGTGGGGAGAGCAGCAATTCCAGAGGAAAGGCCTCATCCAACACACTCCTACACGAGTGTCTCACGGGAATAAACCAAGCAGGTTACTCACAGGCCTACATCAGAAGCTGAATGAGAGAGAGAGTCTCGAGTACAGTAATGAGTGCCACAGGAGGGAAGCACTCCCCATGAATGAAGGGCACACTAGAGATTCAAAAGCCACAACAGGCTTATAGGTGAGACACCTAAATGCAGGCATTTAAGGTCAGAAACCAGAGAGAACTGGGCCCCAGTGGAATGGTGGCCATTCCCATGGAAGAGTCCTCAGAGAAGCATGTTTCACTGGTTGACGGAGGTCTAGCCCTTAGACGAAATGTAAGGGTTTTAAAAAGTTAGAAAGAAACTTCAGCATCACTTTCAATTTCTACAAGCGTACACAACCAAAGCACAGCAGATGTTTACGATGGCCCTCGGGGGTTCAGAACTCTGAGGGCTGTTCTGACCACAGCCGAGCAGAGGAATAAAAATCAAAGGCGACCTCACTCAGCCCGTTGAAAAAGTGCTCACTGATGAATGTAAGAAGGAACTTGCTCTAAGTGAGCTCTTCATGCTGCCACCCATCCTACCCCCAAAGGTGTTAGTGACCCACTAACATCAGAACAATACAATCAGTTTCAGCTACCACGACAGGTGCCATGACACCCTGCAAGTCTGGTGTGCAGGAACAGCTTGAAAACGACATCATTTTCACTGAGAGACAAGCCCGGTGTGGCTATTTTCATATGCGTCTTACCTGTGCTTGGCACACAGGAACGGGGATGTGTCAGGTATGTCGGGGTCACATCAGAGAGCACTCTGGGCAGGGTGGAGAGCTGTGCGGAGGGTGGCAGTTCAGCTATAAAATCAATCCCTGGCTCTGGCCGGTTTGGCTTAGCAGTTAGAGTGTCGGCCTGTGGACCAGAGAGTCCCGGGTTCAGTTCCCACTAAGGGCACCTACCTGGGTTGCAGTTTGTCCCTGGCCCCGGTTGGGGTCGTGTGGGTGGCAACCAGTTGATGTGTCTCTCTCACATCGATGTTTCTCTCTCTCTCTCCCCCTCTTCTCCTTCCCACTCTATCTGAAGATAAATGCAAAAATGTCTTTGGGTAAGGATAAAAAAATAAATGAAAATTGATCTCTGCTCAGTTAAGGGAATAGGAAATTACTGGCAATGAGTGTTTTGTTTTTTAAAAAAAATTTTTTTTGAGGGAGAGAGAGGAACATCAGTTGGCTGCCTCCTGCACGCCCCCTGCTGGGAATCAAGCCTGCAACCCAGGCATTGCCCTGACCAGGAATCGAACCAGGACCCCTCAGTCCATGGGATGATGCTCAATCCACTGAGCCACACCGGCTGTGCTGTTTTGTTTTTTAACTTATATCATGGAACTTATACTCTAATCTGGAAAGGAATGGCTATAAAAAGTTTGGGCCCTCAGGCACTCACCAAATAAGAGAGCCAATAACCACCAAACTAAGTATTTATTTAAATGACATTAATTACAGTCTTTCCTCGTGCGTGTCCTCTTTCCACCTTCAGAAAGGCTTCTGGGACTTGAGAAAAAGGAAAGGTTTTTTCAATAACTGGCTGGATCTGTAAAACACAAGAAGAGGTTAACTGGTGGATAAGAAAACTGACATCATCAAGGCAGAAAACGTCTGTAATTCGCTTCTTCACTAGACAGACCCAGCCTCTCCCTTGTGCATCTAGGTTCGGTGCTCTCTGCCGGGTGGGCCAAGACTGCTGGGACTGCTGGCCCCGCCCCTCCTCTCTGTAAGGCAGCCTGACTCCACCTCCCGGGAGCGACCTTCTGCTCTATGTGGCATGTCCCTCTCCTACTCAGAACCTTCCAGTAGCTCCCAAACCCTCATTCAAAGGCCACCACCATCCCAACCTCAGCCCTCACGCAGACCCCATGCTTCAACGTCTGACAGGTGTGTGGGCTCCGCGTGTTCCGCCACCCTTCCACCCAGGGCTCACACGACCCTTCCTGACCTCCCAGCTGGCAGAGTCCTCTCTCTGAATTGCTACAGCACCCCCGTGGCCCTCTCCACGGACTGCTCGTTACAGCAGAGTACACATCTCACTCTGTGGTGTGTGGGAAATACCAGAGGGCATCCCAGGGTGCTTGCTGATGTATCCCAGTGGCCTTCACGGTGCACAGAATGAGGGCAGATTTTTTGTTTTAATTTGTTAACTGTTCGGCATGTCTATTAGACCAGAGTTTAGAGCACCTGTGGTATAGGCCACCTCTCTTGTACCCTCCACAACACCCAGAACAATGCTAGGCATGTGGTAGGGGCATAATAAATATCACTCATCATCTATGACAGAGGAGGTGGGAGCTACAGTAGGGTAGAGACAGTCTCTTCAATAAATGGTGCTGGGAGAACTGGACAGATATATACAAAAAATAAAACTAGACCACTTTCTTACACCATATACAAGAATAAACTCAGAATGTTTAATCCATTTAAAGATTTAAATGCAAGACCAAAAACCATAAAACTAGGAAAAAACAGGCAGTAAACTGTTTACCATCGGTCTTAGCAATATTTTTTTTTGAATATACCTTCTGGGGCCAGAGAAGCAAAAGAAAAAATAAACAAGTAAGACTACTCCTAACTAAAAAGATTTTGCACAGAAAAAGAAACCAACAAAATGAAAAGACAACCTACTGACTGTGAGAAGATATTCACCAATGATACGTCCAATTAAGGGTTAATATCCAAACTATATAAGGAACTCATACAACTTAACACCGAAATAAGTAAATCCCATTAAAAATGGGCAGAGGACCTGAATAGACATGCCTCCAAAGAGGACATACAGGTGGCCGATAGACATAAAAAAAGATGGTCAACGTTACTAATCATCAGAGAAATGCAAATTAAAACCACAATGAGAAATCACCTCATACTTGAGGCTATCATCAATAAACCAACAAACAACAAGTGTTGGTGAGGATGTGGAGAAAAGGGAACCCTTGTGCACTGTTGGTGGGACTGTAAATTGGTGTAGCCACTGTGGAAAACAATATGGAGGTTCCTTCAAAAACCAACAGAACTACTATATGACCCAGCAAATTCCACTTCTGGGTATTTATCTGAAGAAAATCAAAACACTAATTCCAAAAGACATACGCATCCCTATGTTCACTGCAGCATTATTCATGACAGCCAAGATGTGGAAGCAAGCTGAGTGTCCATCGACAGACGACTGGCTAAAGATGTAGTACATACATACAGTGGAAAGTGACTCAAGCATAAAAAAAAAATCTTGTCATTTGCGACAACATGACGGACCTGGAGGGTATTATGCTAAATGAAATACGTCAGTCAGAGAAAGACAAATACCAAAGATTTCACTTATGAGTGGAATCCAAAAACAAATGAACAAAACAGAAACAAACTCACAGATACAGAGAATAAAACGGATGGTCACTAGATGGGAGGGGGGTTGGTAGGCTGGTGAAAGGGGAAGGGATTAAGATGTAAATTGCCAGTTATAAAAAGTCACAGGGATATAAAGTACAGCATAGGGAATAGAGTCAATAATACTGGAGTGACTATGTATGGTGTCAGAGGGGTACTGGAAACATCCCTTTATTTCCACAGGGTGATCACTTTATAAGTTACATAAATGTCTAATCACTATGTTGTACACCCAAAATGAAGATAACATTGTATGTCAACTGGAATTGAAAA